AATAGAGTCCGGAAAAATATATAGAATGAAACCACAAAATGTGTACATAAATAAGTAATGAAAAAGTTCAGAATTTGTAACTAATATATAAAAGGGAATACAATTCACAACATCAAATTTATCAAACATTACATCCAAACACAATATATTTTAACATTTCGTGTATATTGAAATTACATTTATAAAATATGCATTAAATCGTTTTTTAAATAAATAATCTTTAGCCTTCTAGATTAACTTCTTTTAGAGCATATTTTTATATGAGAGCAATAATAACCATCATATAACTCAGTGACCTCGTGGGAACTCAGTGACCGAAAAAATTAGTCTTCGTAATGTTATGTGCTTGCGACAAGAAACATGACGTCACTCAAACTTTCTAAAGCAAAAGGCAAAATTCTCAACGCACAAGCGCATTCATCGCGACATAAATGGCATGCAGATGAAAGTCAAACCAAACAGACCGCCTGCATCTTAGTTTTGCAAAATGTATAAAATATACGTAAAATATGTAATACAGAGCAATACATGTAAAAAACGTTTATCGACAAATTTGGATGTTGAGTTAGAATTGTCAAGATTACAATTTTGAGAACTGTACATAAGAAGACAAAAAAATGTAATTTAATTAGATAATAATGCAGACACTAATCATTAAGGGTTCACTCCGTACAAATATCTAATCAAATCACAGTAGTTCTCGAGAATTTTCACTTTTCTGTACAGCTAATCCAGGGTTCAGGGGAGTAGGCGCCTCTTTCTTTTGCAGAACCACAAACCAGTTTAAAGACGCGTGGATCAACTCCCCCCCCTCCTCCGCAACCCCTCGTATTAGGGCCAGTGAAGCCACGTGAACATAGAAGCAAAAGGAAAAATATTAATAGAATTTGCATCTAACAATTTATTCTTCAATTCGTAGGGTTTGTTTTCAAAGAGCAAATGCGGAAATCTAAGCGACGGGCGAATTGCCAGGAGAGATCGATTCCGTCCCGTCTTCTTTCGCTGAATTCTCCGCAATGAAATTCTGCACGCGTCGCGCAGTTCCTCAAGTGAGGCGTCTTCTGATATGCGAGAATCACTGCAGCCGCTGTGAGAGCGGTCATGTTTTCGTCGCTCGAGAGCGTTCCAGTACAATATTACTCACTTCCCTTCAGTGTTTTGAGAATAGTTGTTATACTTAATTTTTTTTAAACACTGCATGTTTTGAGTAATTCCTTTGATAATTTTTGCTGTATTGAGTTCTAAACTGTTAAAACTTAAATTCCTACCGAGCTGATGCCTAACCGTTTTATTTTGTCTCGCTTTGCCACTGAGACCCTTTGAGGCCTGTGTCACACGAGCGTTGCGTTGACGCGCGTCGGAGATAAACTGTATCTTATGCCAAAGCACCCATATGTGTTTGTTTTTTTTTTCGCGTAAGATCCACGGTTATCCTATGACGCGTGTTACTTAACGCGCGTCAACGAAACGCACGTGTGCCGGGGGGCATGAACGTTCGGGGCGACGAAGTTCGACCTTTGACTGAGCGAATTGCAGATTTATCCAAGCCCGTTGATGCGTGGGTTCATGTGAAGCGTGACCATGCCCGGGCACAGAACAAAATGCACAGCTCCCATCGCACAGCAAACACACGAGGAGCCGGTGACTCGGAGATATAGGTAGGACGGGGACATTCTAATATGAGTAGTAAGGACCACAAAAGGCTTGTTCATGTAAATTTAGTGTGGGCCTCTCCTCTAGCAGCAAGTGTGCTCGGTGGCACATTGGACAGTTTGTTATAGAATATCTTAATAATCACACAAAATAAAGAACATTGTCGGACCCAAAGACTTAGCATACAAGATTTAAAAAAGAATCTGGAAGGTGATGGCGCAAGTTTGGCTTCAGATGCGGATTCAGCGGATTCATTCAGCGTTTGGCTTCAGATTTCGATAGAGAAATATGTGTCAAATCTTTTAGTCTGACAATTTGTATGTGTGTATATGTACGTGCGTGCGTGCGAGTGGTATTAAACACAGCCAGCTTATAATGTCATGCGGCCTGGGTCCAATAAAATTTACTTTCTTTAATAATCACAGAAAATTATCATTGCACGAATGTTCAATTGTTTGTTTAGACTGTCGTATCTATTAATTATAGATCAATAATATTTTGATACACAGAATAGCGCTTTCGTACGACTTACTACTGGTAATATCTAAAAAGCTGTTATTTAATGGGCCCAAAGGCTTCTAAGTTTTGATGTGAAAAAAGGTTGAGAAATTATTTTGAACGGAGTAAATTTAGAAGTGATTAGAATAATAACGCATGAATGTTATTAAAACGAGAGGGTTTGATGGAATTAATCACTTACAACCTAAAATGTATTTTTGCAAAGGAACACAATTTAATAATAGTTATTATTTTATTGAGATTTTATCCCTTTGTAAGTCATAAAAAGGTACCTATCATTAATAACTTCCGAACTCAGTGTAGAACAGCAAATCTTTTGAATATTAACATCACTGTTCACGGATGCACTCTATTTCTAGAAATCGCATTATTTGTAACTTGTCATTTTCAAACATTCAGAGAGCTCATCGAAAATAGGATCTGTGCTATTTCATAAGCGCACTTCGCCCTACCCGGGTAACAAATTTGAAGAAAAAAAATGCAGCTATTTTAACAAAATCTTATTTTTTAAATTGCCTTCATGTTACGCAAAATGACGTAAAAACTACGGTTTGAAAACTAGTGCTATCACAACCACACATACTGCCTCGTATTATTTCTATGTTTTGCTATTTTTGAACATTCAGAGTGTAACGAAAATGAGACATGCGCTGCCCGATTTTAAACGTCTTTTTCTCTATCCGTTTTGAAAAACATGTGCTTCTTATAATCTGCATTAACTTCAAGCAGAAAATACGCGAAAACTACTCGTTTTTCAAAAAAATAATTGCACGTTACCGTTTTTAAAAAACCGAATTTTTATAACAGATTTCCTTTATAACTAAAGTCTCAATCATCAATATTGTACCACACAAAATTACGCAAGAAAGAAGTTTTCGAAAAATTGAACATGACCTTATCTGAAGATGTTTCTAATGCATTCGTTTCATGAAGAAAAAAAAATAATCTTCATAATTGTCGTTGTAGGAAGAGGCCGAAATTTTTTTGAAGTTTTGCAATTTTCGAAAAAATCTGAGACCTACTCAAATCAGATCTGCAACATTATCTTAAGCGTTCTTTAGTTTATCCGAGTACAAAATGTAATCAAAAAATTTTATGTCATTTTTTGAAAATGTCCCAGTTGCTTCGTATAGAGTACCCCCAAAATTAAAATATATTTCAAATTCTAGAGACCGCGACATCAGCCAGATTAATTGGGGAACATCAATGTTAGTGAAAATCCTACTTACGGTTTAGCCACTAGCCCTGTTCACACACAGACAGACGTTTTGTCATTTCGATTTCTCGGTATCAAGGACCCACAAAACATGGATTCTGGCAACATGTTTTAGAGGAAGTAATTAAATATACACAGGAACTAGATTTACCTACTTCGTCGTTATCAGGGCCCAATAACAAGATTTTTTTCTGTTGAAAATTTGCCTTTTCCCCTGTAGCGTAACAGTACTTTCTCTATACTGCGAAAGCAGTAGCGAGAAAGTAAAAATATCATTAATATTGAACTTAAGCAACGTTAACTTTTGACAATTTCATAAAAATACAGTGTGTTTGCCGAATACAGAATTAGTACCACTTTTTTACCGTCCTTTGATATATACGAGGAGAAAATTGAAAGAAAAAATTTGAAGCCGTTTTAATGAGGAAAAAAACTGTTTAACTGTTCCCTATATTGCGTGCAAAATTACGCAAAAAATAGTCAAACTTTCGAAACTTATTTTAAGATATCTCTTTGAAGAAAAAACTTCATTAAGGAAAAAATCTGTCTTCAATATTGCAGTTGTAGGAAAAGGCGGAGATTCCAAAATTCAGAATTACACGAAAATGAGACCTGCGGCACTCTTTACGTCTCTCGCTATCCGAGGAAAAGTATAATGAAAAGAATGCGAGCCACTATTGAGAAAATTATGAACATGCTTTTGAAACTTTATGAAAAGTACCCCCAAAACTAAAAATATGTTTCAAACTTCAAGTTCGGTCAGATCGATTGGGGAACATTTGTTTTCGAGGAAATCGTCTTAATAGCGCACTAGTTTTCACCACAGACACGCAACGGACAACCAATTTTTCGGTAACAAGGACCCACAAAATGTGGATTCTGACTACACAATGTGTTAGAGGAAATACTTTACAATATGTAGGAACAAAACGTATCCACCCTTCGATACCAGGGCCCCATAATACGAGTTTTCCGGCGAAAATACTTCCTCTTTAATTATGCATGTACGTAGAATCGTGGTCAAATGAAAATTTGGGTTCTCAATTGAGTCGGCGCCATAGTCAAATTACTGACCCCCTCTCCCTATTCTCCATTCATCGCAACACTTTTCGATCAGTATCCTTTCAGTCCTGGCGTGGATGGTGCATGTTGTACCTAGGTGGCGTCATTCCAATTCTGTATTGTGGCATAGTGGGACAGACCCAATCACAATGTACCTTCCACTGCCCTGCATCTATTTCCAGACCGAAACTCCAACCAGTGTTCAGAAAGTGAAGCCTATCCCCTATGGGATATCTTGTCAACATTCTCAAACTTGAAAGAAAAAAGAAGAGAGGCCTATGGGCTGCCTCCGACTGCTGAGTCCCAACCCAAAACTAATATAGCTTTAATACAATAGACTGCCAAGCATTATTCATATACATCTCATTTTATGTAACTACATAAAAATGATAATGAATATGAACAAAATGCATGAATGATGTAACAACATTTCAACATATTTTTTTAGGAGTACATCTTTTCAGTAAGCATTTTAATTAGCATAGCAAACCTTTAACATGAATTTTATCATGCCTGTAAAATTAAAATCACATAATTTTTCTTCTTTCCAGCCTGTATGCCAATTCCAGCTATAACTCTGGATGATTACAAAAACTGTGGTGATCGCAAGCCTCCTTTTTCATATGCAACCCTTATTTGCATGGCAATGGGAGCAAATAGCAACAAAATGACATTATCTGCAATATATAGCTGGATACGAGAAAATTTCTTGTATTATAGAAATGCAGATCCAAGCTGGCAGGTAAATTTTAAACATTTTTTACCTTCAAATTTACAACACACTCTCAAGTCCTCAAACACAACTCCACCCTTGGAGGTCATCCATATATTATGCATTGCAATTTTAGAAAATTTTAGATACTCCCTCCCCATTGCACACCTCTAACAGATTGTACTTCTCTCCCATCCATCACCTACAGTTTTTTTAATTGCTTTTATCCACTTTCGTTAAGTAATGTAAAACATTATGCTATTATAATCAGTTTCGTAATGAAGTACTTTACTGCTCCAGTGTGGTAATGAACTTCATTACCACACTAGTGCAGTAATGGCATACGAGTAGGGATTTCTTAGATGAGCACTATTCCATGGTCTACTATTGAGAATAACAATAATTATTCAAATAATTCATTATGAAAATAACTTTGTTAACAATTTTTCAAATAATAACATGTTTTAATTACTTATTATATACATTAACAACAAATTTCTTGCAATTCAAAATTGTAATTTCTGATGATGTTGAAGCCTGACAATTCATATTAGTATTTGAAATACTATGTTACCCCACAATGAAATAAATAGCAGCATTTGCTGCTATTTCTATATCTGAGTCTGAATTGCATTCGCTCATGTCGAAATGTGTACACCATGCGCGTTACAATTGTTCTCCTTGTTAAGAACAGTGCCGCCACTTAAAGAGGAAAAATGTGAATATTAAATGAAAATTTTAATCTTAAATCTAACAAATTTTTACAAAGAGGATAAAACGTTGTATGATATTCGTGATATAACATCTGATTACTCAATAATACTAATTACTCAATTGGTTACCCAACTCGTCCTAATGGACTCGTTTGTCAATTTTCCAATCTTGTATCGGAATCAGATGTATTACGACACTAATATTGTAAATAACTATTTTTTATGTTAAGTACATAATTCCCCCAAATAATCCCATTCTTGCATCAATTTATTTTTAATAAATATGTAAAATTAAATTATATAAAAGTAAAAAAACAATTTGTATTAATTTTACATTAGATTAAAATTGATAATAATTAACGAAGTTCAATATTAATGATACATAAGAAGAATTACATAAACACGTGCTTAGAAAAGAAAACATTTCTGCCAACAAGTCAGTCAGATGCAAATGTGGATAATGCCATAGCAGAAGTGTCTTGCATGAATTTAATTGCATTCTAGAATATTTAAATCAGTTTTCAATATTATTTTCTTCATTATCTAAAATATTCAATTAATGTATGATTGATGGGAAAATACTTTAATTTATTAAAACAATTTACACATTGTATTTATTTACACATTTTTAAAATTTACTTCCTTCATTTTTCTTCCTTCCTTGATCATGTTTTAATATTTTGTTGTCTTAGTATAAGAAGGAATAAAAATCCCTAATTAGATCTTTAAAAATCTAAAATTAAAAAATAAATAATTAAATATAAGAATTAAATATAAGCAAGTCATAATGTGTGACACAGAAAACTCTCTTATCTCACAATGCAAATGATCAAGGATTGTTCATTTTAATACTGGAATACAATTATATATTCATTGATGATGCTATTTGCAATAATAGACAGTAAAAAGAAAAACAATTTTAAGAATAATCCTTCATTTTGTATTTTTTCAAAAAAATTATGTGTAGTTTAATCATTCCCGCCTCAATAAAGTAAACATTGAATCATAATTGAAAATGCTTCTTTTCAACACATAACTTGTAGAACTGAAATATTTTATAAGAATTCACAATAAGTGATGGAAGTTATATATTCATGAATTTGCTTCAACACATTCACAGAATTCAATTCGCCACAATCTTTCACTAAACAAATGTTTTGTGAAAGTTCCTCGATCAAAAGATGAACCAGGAAAAGGAGGGTTCTGGAAATTGGATCTCGATCGACTTGAAGAAGGAAAACGTAGAAAACGTCGCAATAACAGCAGCACCAAATCAAGGCATCGAGCGCGTAATCAAACTACTGTGACACCTGTACCCCAAACTACTACACAAGTCACCACTCAGATCTTACCAAATCACATTCCTTTTTTACCAGCAGATGTGACAGAACGAAGCACCCTCACCTCTACCATTACCTCCACTCTCTTAGATCCTACTCCTTTTACAATTGCAGAGGAAGAATTGGCTGCATTATTACTGGCAAGTGAAGGATGGGATGAGGCACAAATTGAACTCTTGGACTCTCTACTTGATTCACTTTAAGTCAGAAATTACATTAAGGTAATGAAGATTATCTTATTCTGCTCTCTATTGTATATATTCTTACAAAAGAGAGAGAGAGAGATCAAACATATTGGTTTTAGTATTCTAAAGAGAACTTGAGATACAAGAAACTAACATTAAAAATCAATAAAAGAATGAGTTGGGATTGTTCAGAAAATTCATGTTTAAACCTGAAACATTGATTATAAATAACTTTAATATCTGGGGTACAAGGAGTATTACCCGTAATTTAAAATTTTGCATTTGTTAATTTAATACATTTTTATATCATTAGATTTGTCATCAAAAGTCAGAATAAGTTTCAAGTCAAAATATTTGGTTCCTTTCTATTGGAACCAAATATTATGCTTTAAACATTGTACTTACTTATTCTTTAAAAAATTCACAATCAGGAACATCTCAGACTGTCTAGCATGCCTAATTATTGCATTACTATAAAAAGCACATGCATAAAAATACATTACATATTCCAAATTCATCACTTGTGCAGAAGTGAATACATTTTATTTACATGGACGCTTTAGACTCCAATCCGTACTTTGAAAAATTTTATTTCAAACTATTAACTGAATTTTGTACAAAAATTTTCTCTACACATATTCATGATAAATTTATCTCTAATAAACAAATATCTTCAATATTTATGATAAATTTGTTTCAAATTCAATTCACAAAAATGTAAAATACTGTCAGATGTTCCTGCAAGCAATAAAGTCAATAAGAAATCAGCGAAATAAAAATGATTAAAATGCTGAATTATCATTAAAGAATTTACCCTTCAAGGCATTTGCTTTTGATTAAATTTAATGTTACATACAACTTGATATAATGTTTTTATTCACATAAAATTTAATCAAAAGTAAATATCTTAATGAGTATGATTTCGGAATACATACAACCTGATATAATGTTTTTATTCACATGAAAATCACATATTTCCATTTTTAATTCTTGAAGACTTTTTCCCTAATGTATAATTCTTGTGGAGCAATAAGTATGAAGTTGTAATTGTTGTTGTTGTAGCCTCCATTTTAAATGTACAACATCAACACTGAGGAAACGTATGGTACTGCACATCTGGTGACTCCCTAGTTCATACAAGATGTAAAACTTCAACAAAAAACAAAACAAAACAAAAAAAGAAAAGGAGTTTGTAGTACGTTAAATGTAATCAATGTTGCGTCTCTAATCCAGTGACCTGGTAAACAAAGTGCTCTTTCTTTGAACAGTTTATTGACTTCCATGCAACTACAGCCAGAATACACTGGTTTGTAGAATGCAATTCTAGCAGTATGGCTATCCAGCACGAAGGAAAATTTATTTATGAAATGTACTAATTATGTATTATTAGAATATTTGTATAATTGTATATTATCCGTCCAACTATATTTTAGAAGCGTAAATAATGTAAATTAGAACTTGCACAGTGTTTTGTGTGAAATGTTATTCTTTTGAAAACACTAGTGTGAACAGTCAATCAGTGTGACTTTTCATTTTTCACTGTCGCACAAAATGTCCCTGCATCTTATTCTCACTGAATGCTCATAGTAAAACTCTTTGCGTCCTGGACATGATTATTATAAATATGAGGAAAAAAGAAGAATCATTTTAAATAATTTTACAAAGTTTTTACACAACACTTTCTAACACTATGGTAAAAGCGAAAATTAAATGATGAAAACGATATTTCAAATATTTCATAAATAATTAGCAGTTTTTTTTAACAGAACATTTTGGTCTCATTTTAATAAAAAATAATAAATGAAAGTAGATGCTACTTTAATTTATTAGAGGCAAGCTAAAACGTGCAGTATTCATAGAAATGATAATTCAATCAAAAAAGTTTCTTTGCTTTCCAGAACTCAAAAAGCAAATATGATTACTTATGAAAATACATTAATTGTTTCACATTAAGAGGGGAAAAGGAAGTTACCAATACAGACACTGAACATCTTGCACAGGCTTTAGCAAATCAAATCAAGACTGAGACAAAGTGAGCGTGAGAAGAAGGTGGAGGTACGATATTGTCATCATTATTACCGTCATTGACTCCCTCTAAGGGAAAAAAACATTACATATTTGATTATATATCATTAAAACATACAAATTTTTAGAAAAGTATTTTGAATCAATTATTCAGTTTTTAAATAGTTAAAAAACAGACAGCTATTTTAAGGAAAAAAAATAAAATATACTTTTCCATGGAGTTTGCATTCTTGACTGCTTCCCAAACTTAAGAGTTTATATCCTTACAAATAATCAAGGAAATTGAAGTGCTTACTTTATATATATTGTTTAATTTTCAGTAATAATTTCAAAATAAATAATTTGAGTTTTGAACCGTGAAGTAATACAAAATATACTAACACAACTCTTTGAAAGAGTTCTGGTTGACATAGCACATTATTAACACATTCATCATATGAGATGTTTTGTGCTTTATTTCAGAATTTTGTGTGTCACATTTAAAAGTCAGGGATTTATCTGTGATCAAAACTTCACATGAAGATATCAAAGAATGCAAACTGTAATATATTTGCATATAAATATAATAGTTTCCCATGAATAATCTGTAAAAATTTCAAAAGAGAAAAAGAAAGCAATTACTAAACAACTTTATAAGCAATTGAACTGAAGGTGCTGTTGGTGTTGTCTATATTTGTAAATGATAAAACAAAAGGGCATGTGTAAGCTTGCTGGTTTTGTGGTGCTGTAATGTAGAATTACTATTTCTTCTTGTAGTTATAAATGTATTACTTTACAAAATTATATTGGTCACTGACACACTATACTATAAAGACAATTTGCAAATAAAAGCCATAAAGGCACAAATAAATAATGTGAAAAATTGAAAGAGTGGAAGTATACTCCAATTAAAAGTTGTTACCAGAGAAAAACAATACATAATAATAAGAGAAAAATTAGTAGTCACAATGTAGGAAGAATTACTGGAGAAAGTTGCATAGTGTGTTTAAAGCAAAAGATAATGTTAAAAACTTGCAAATTTACAAATTAAATTTACAACAGTTAGTTGTATATTTAAGACCAACAAGTGTTGTGAACAATCACTCAAATTACAAAAAGAACAAAAACAGAATTTACAAATTCATTCTTTTAAGACGCAAATAATAGTATTATAATTAAATTACACTGACACAGAGTTTTTTGTTAAACAAACCTACACAAAGACGTCACAGTTCAAACCAAAATACTAAATTATGAAAAAGAAGTGTGTGAGTGTGCAATATAATACATTCTAATTAACATTAGATATTAATTTTCAAAAGTACCACTGTGTTTAATTAATCTAAAAACAAGATTTTATTTCTCAATCACTGATCTAAATGGATGTTCTGACAGTTTTTAAAATAAGATTTGAAATTTTTTTTTTTTTTTTTTTTTTTTTATTGCTGCAAATATCAAATTAAGAATAAGTGCATTGCATTTATTGACATTTAGTTATAAGGTAAATTAACTACAGAAAGGCCAAAAGCCACATGCAAAATACTTTGCTCTACATTATTGAAGAAGAAATTCACATTTTCATAACATGAATAAAAATCAAAAATAATTCTAAAGTGCATCTTATATGAATTTAGAAAAGGATTATTTCCACATTTAACAAAGATAAATCCTTGGTCTTCTACAGGGGCATTTTCTCTCTTGCAGTTAGCACAAATGTGCATCTTTGTGATAGCTGCAGTATTAAGAAACAGAAATCTAAACTGTACAAGAATATGAAAACCCAGTTATAAAGTGTGCCTCATAATTTAGATTTCTGAAACGCCTTTGACTAAAGCTGCTTGTATTAGCACGTGTGTGTGTGTTGTGTGGGTGTTCAATAGCACAAGCACTTCATGTGCAGCTCATTTGGGATACAGATCCCAAGCTACTCTTCCGTCCATTGTAATCTAATATTATAAAACAGAATAGCTGAAATTATTAGATTTCTTTTCAATAATTTAAGTTAATTTGGTTGTTTTTTTTTTTTGCTAATACAAATAATTTATTGCACAGTTAATTGCTTTTATTTCTATTAAAGAAGATTAAGAATCTAAGAAATATAAAAATACTTTACAAAAAAAGTTGTATCTGTCTTGATTTTTTTAAACATTTACTGAACAAAAAATCTGATTGCCAGGCAAACTTTTTAAAGTTGGCAATCAACAAATGTGTATCCTAGAAGTTGTCATGATTGAGAATTATAAATCTACTGAATAATTTCTCAGACAAAATTTTCTATTTTGCACATAAGCACATTCTGGTATTATCTGCAATGACATCAGAACAGAATCAAATTTGTTGATTTCTAAAATTCTTTTGATAAACTACCAAAAGAATTTTGTAGTTGTATTTTTCCCCCCGCAGAACATTATCATTATTAAATGCGACTGAATATTTAACTAAGCAACTTTAAGGATACTCTTTGGCAAATTCCAACTTAACAGGTACTAATAAAATAGCAGAATATTTTCGTTAAAAACAGCTTATTTTTTGTAATCATGAATATTCAATATTTTGGAAATTAGTGCATTATTAATCTCAATTTTTTTATTTTGTTAATAATTATTCTGCAGCTACATTTCTTCATTTCTGATTAGTTCTACCACAAAAAAAAAAAAAGTGAAATTAATGGCCATTCCATTCACTAAACACAGTTTTTATTTAACTTCTTTAGAACCACTTAATATTTATGTATTGTTTTAAATTTATTACTTATAGTTGACCATCAAGCAATGGTTTATTTTTGATGTGACAATTACTCATGTTTGTTCATATCTTTTATAGTAAAATAAAGATATTCTCACATACATCATTTATTCTACTTTAATTCTATCCCAGTTTCTGCATTAAATCCTTATTCTTGAACAAAATAGGTGACATAACCCCAAAACCTTTTATCTAATAGAAAGAATCTTTCCGATATATCCTTCTGACAACCAATTAAATTTACGAGAGAGAAACGTATAAAATAACAAAAATACTCTTTTGATAGTTCAATAAAAGTTATTATTTTATAACTGTTGAATGATTTTTTTCTTCTGTTTTTTTACAGAGAAAATATTGGCCATGCATGGTAACGGGTGACATTTCAAATAATTATATAAAAAACTGAAGTAAAGCTGACATAAGCACAATACATTAGGATATTAAAGATGTGAAGATGTGGTAGGGCATTGTCAATAGAACAATGGAAGGAAGAACAATGTTAAGGAACAAAATCCAAACACGATGAGATACATTTACATTCCTTCTCATTGTAGCCATTTTCATTTCTAACAAAAAGTGATATTTGATTTTTTTTAAATTTTTATCTTAGTCAATTTGCTGTGTAGCTTGCAAAAACTGCAAGAAAAAATCACTCTTCAAGGCTTGGGTAGGTTTGAGTCCTGCACGTGGCATGGTTATTTTTAACAAATTGTGAACCATCATCCCATTTGTAATTATTTATTCATCATTAGGGGGTGATGAAAACCTAAATCATTGCCAAAAATGATCAATAAATTGCTGTTAAAATATTTTTAAAATACCCTAAAAACAAAGAAAAATGGCGTAAAGAAATTTGATCAAAACAACTTCAGATGAACAACTTAAGCTGTTGCATATGTTACTGATGTATTTGAGGCTTCTTCCTTTTGTTCAAGTAAACTCAGCTTGCAAACTTTTGGTTTGGACTGCTAAAAAAATATCTCTGCCTTTATTTATCGTGAAATCAGTAGAACTGACAATGGCGCCAGTAGGAAGAAAGAACATTACACCACAAGAACCTTAGATTACATTGTACTCTCAATGGATGACATTACAATGAGCAAAGAAATCGAAAAGGCTACTCAGAAATTCTGTGATGAACATTTTTTGCATCTTGTAAATATTGTTTGAAGCGAGTACAATTAAAATGATATTGAAATCGATGAAATCAGCAAAAAATGCATTAAAGATTATGTACAAAGGTAAAAACTGACTTATTAATAGAAATAGGCAAAAAATGCATAAAAAATGACATAAAAATTGGTCATTTCATTTTGTCATAACATAAAATGAATTTCTAAACTAACTGACATTATTCTAAAAAGAAAAGAAAAAAATTACATTACAATTACAAAAATTACAATTTCATTAAAATCTGCCCCCTATTCATCTCTACTCTCCTACACTTGTGGAAGGTAAAGACAAACTGCCAGTTGTCACCTGTCACTGGAAGAGGCAGGGCATGAAGATGTAGGTCTCCTCTGAGCTACATTTAGTAATAAGTATGGCACCTATCATCATAATCAGTGACTTATGTAAATTTATAATTTATCAATTTGATAACATATAACGGAAAAAGAAAACATTAATTTTTCATATTGTTTTATAACTTTTTTGATATGAAACTTGACACAGATAGCCCCCAGACTCTTCTCAACAATTACTATAAGCCATATAAGCCAAATCTTCTCTGAAATAAGGGGCAGATTTTAATGAAAAGTCTTGTTGTTTTCCTTTTCTTTTCCCTTTAGAACAATGCCTTCCACTATAGACATTAATTTCATTTTATGACAAAAGGAAATGGCCAATTTTTATATGACAACTTTTTGACAATTTTCGTGGATTTTGAATAATAAGTCATTTTTTACCCTTTCCCATCATTTTTAAAGCATTTTTTCTGATTTTAATATCATTTGAATGTTACTTGCTTCAAATAATATTTACAAGATGCATGTTCTTCATAGAACTCTTGAGTAACCTATTCAATTTCAACGCTCAGAACGTCAACCATTGTATGTAATCTAAGGTTTCTGTAACGCTTATCTGCGCCATTATCAATTCGGCCTATTTCACAATGACTAAAGACGGAGATTTCCTGATAAAAACAGTCCAAACTAAAAGTTTACAAGCTAAGTTCACATGAATGAAGGGAAGACCTCAATTACATCAGTATCATACACGAATTCAATCAGTTACAAATTATATCAGTGTCATACAAGAATAATCCAACGACAATTTGTTTATCTGAACTGGTTTTGATCAATTTTTTAACGTCATTTTTCTTTGCTCTTAGGGCATTTCTGTAACATTTTAAGAGCATTATATTGATCATTTTTGGCGATGTTTTAGGTCATCAAAATTCATCCTCTAGTTAAAGGGTATTCTTTCACAGTTGAAGATAGGAATGAAATAAAAACTACAAGAGACAGAAAACAGCCTTCAAATTCATTTTCATAACAATTCTTTCCAAAAATATATTTTATAACAAATGACATAAAGAACTTTCAATAATTTCAGTAATTACACACAATCACGTTTATTTACAATATTAAAAACACACAATCAGTTATTAGTCATGGCAGTATTTTGAAATAATGTCCATAAATTACATTTTTTCACTGTTTGATGCCAAAATTCTTTCACCAAATCAGCTCCTTTTTCAGCAACCATCATTACTGCTGCATTCACATTTCCACTAGGAAGACTTGGCATCACAGAAGCATCGACTACAAAAAGTTTATTTGTTCCATGTACCCTGCCAAAATAGTTATTAACTTAAATAATTCCAATAAACCATTCACAGTTTGTCCAGAAATATTGAGTTGTTAAAGATGTGAGATACATTAAAGAAAAAAACAGTAACCCATCTGTAGTAATCAGACAAGTTGGTTGCCCCTGTTCAGAGAATAAGTTAATGAAAACAACTCGATATGACCAGTGAAATAAACCAGGAATATAAATTTTAATTTTAATTTCCATAAATTTTACAGGAAATAAAAAATATTGATTGCACATACAAGAATAATAATTAAAAATACAAACAAGTGACATAGTTTCTCTCCATCAGTGTTCAGCTACAAAGAGAGAGAAAAAGGAGCAGACCAGGAAGGAGGGGGGAACAGTCTGGCTTGGGCTGCACTCTTTCAGCTTGAATTTTCATCAAATCCTGCATTAAGTTCACAAAACACCCCTTCACCATTCATACTCATTGTAGTTATGAAATTTTTTTGCTGATTACACTGATTTCACTCATTGTACTTAATTCTAAAATTATTATCAATTTAGTAGATAAAATATTCCTAAAAATGTTCAGTAAATGCGTGATAATATTTATTTCTCTGAAGACACCAGTTTACTCTCCATTTTCATTCATCTCAAATATAAAATGATCTTACCTGAGGTTGGAATCCACAACAGAAGTTCTATCTGTTTGTGGACCCATTTTGCAAGTCCCAACAGGGTGGTAAGATGTTAATGTGAGATGTTTTATATAGCATAACCAGTAATTTGGAGAGTCAAACTTTTCATCCTCACAGCCAGGAATTTTCTTTTCATACAAGTGAGCACCAAGTTTTTGTAATGCCTCAGTTTTAATGAGATTTTTCACAATTTTGATTCCTAAATGGTGAAAGCAAATAGATGAGAAATGTATTCACTTCAACAACAAATTGGAACTTTTTTTTAAATTTATTACCTTCATACAATGTTTTAATATCATCCTCATGTTCCAAATAATTAGGGTCAATTATTGGATCATCATCTATACTTTGGCTTTTAAGTTTCACTTCACCTCTGCTTTTAGGATGCAAAAGTACTGGCATAATACTAGCAACTTGTGACCCTTTTAATGGAGAAAAATATTCCTTCCAAACCTAATACAAATCAATAAAATCAAGTGAAGGAAGATTTGAAATTAAAATAAGTATCTGAATTTAATATCAACAGGTTACCAGAACTTTTATACCTCTTCTTTTACACCCATTGCTTTTCTCATATGTGCCCCATAATCACTTGTTAACCCCATAGGTAGTGCCATAATCTGCAAGTCTGGAAGTTCTTTTCTTTGATCTACTAAATCAGAATGAATAACACCAAAAGCTTCACAACCAGTAGTACTCCATGGACCTGGAACCAAACACAAGAAAAAAATTCTCCAAGTACATTCCTTCCCTCTTTAACATTTATATTTTTAGGAATTTCCATGTGTTAATGTAATAAATATCAAACAATTTTATTTTAAATAGGAGAAACAATATGATCTGGAGGTATGATTTGTTATTGCTGAACTTTCAATACGCGGTTTCGGACACAACAATTCTCAATACTACAACAAAAACATAAATTTTCTGTCCCCATTTAAAATATGTTCTTAATATCAAATTTTTCTTTGTGATTGTTCTATTAAGAAAATAAATTATATATACAATAGAATGAATTTCACTGCAATAAATTTGCAGGATAGCTGTAATAGACACTAACATGTTGCCTTATACTCCAGACAACTAGAGGAAGAATGACATTTAACACATTAGACTCCAGTGCTCAAAAAACTTATTCTTACAATAGAATTACACTCAGTGAAAACAACATTATAAATACAGAAATAACAAATAACATTCCCAAACAATTGACAAAGAGTATGTTTCAAACTAAGGGGTTGTCCTTACTCATAATTACATAACACAAATTTGGAGTATTTTGAATACTACCTCTTGCCCTGTAATGTGTCCAAAACGTGCACTTGCCCCTCCCCCTCCAAAGAATTATGTAACGCTTGCACCTCCTTGTAAATGCAAGAAGCAAAAATAAATTAGAGTACTACACAGACAATTTGTCTTTTTTTTTGTCTGTGTTGTATATTAAAATTTATGACAATTAAAGCTGGAATTAGTTGGCGATGCTGACTGCACCCAACATTAAAATTAGTGGCAAGTTTTGAGTGAAGAAAGAGAGAATAGACACGGAAATTTTTGATCATAAGCTGTGCACATGCCATCGTGTATGACACATGGGCAATATCAACAGAGTGATTGATTGAGCTGAATTAAATCCAATCCAGTAGTAACATGATTTTGTAGATTCCAACAGGTAAATTTTGAAGAACTGGACTCTTAAAAGAGCACTTGCATAAAATAGGCACTGAGACTTTCATAATACAGTCTACAGGTATGAACCTTTAAATTACTATGATGTGTTTTTGGCCTAATTTCAGACCACATCAAAATCATTGGAGAGACAATTGTTCCTACAGAGAGAATTAAAGCCCTTTTCACAAAAACAGATTTTTTTTACCAAAGTCAGCCTCAAAGTCATTTTGACACAACAGCTGAAAAATTGAGAACACAAAATTGCATACTTTCAATACTTTTAAATTTCAGAGAAAATTAAAAATTACCCAGTGTATTGCTCCAATTTATTTGGACTGTAGAATAGACTGCATATATATTTTGAATATTTTCTTCATAAACTTACAAAGTCAATAAAGAAGTGATGAACAAATATTTCCATTTATTGCAACAATTTTCATTCAATTATTATTTCAGAGAGTGTTGAAAAATTTAAAAAAACAAATATCAATGTTATGTAACAATAAACTAATATCCCCAACCCCTATGTATCACAGTGTATCTCTGCCTCAAACCCACTACCCCCTCTTCAGCATTATGTATGGACAACCCCTAACATCATTTATAAAGTACTGTACTTCATTCTCACATCATGAATATTTACCTTTTCCTTGATACATGTATTGTATAAATGAGGACACAGATGCAATATTTTTAAAATCAATAGACAGTGATTGATTAAGCTGAATTAAATCCAATCCAGTAGTAACATGATCTTGTAGATTCTTCCCAACAGGTAAATTTTGAAGAACTGGAATCTTATAAAAGCACTTATATAAAAAAGGCACTGGAAGTTTCATAATACAGTCTACAGATATGAACCTTTAAATTACTAAGATGTGTTTTTGGCCCAATTCCAGACCGCATCAAAATCATGGGAGAGCCAATTGTTCCTGCAGAGAGAATTACAGCCCTTTTTGCAAGAACGGAAAACTTTTTACCAAAGTGCACTCCTTCTACACCAACTGCCTCAAAGTCATTTTGAAACAACACCTGAAAAATTGAGAATAGACAATTGCGTACACTCAACACTATTAAATCTCAGAGAAATTTAAAAATTACCCAGTACATTACACAGCGTATATGCATTATACAATTACCTTGCCAACATGAGCATTACAGAACAGTTTTACTGCGTTCTTATTATTTTGGGCAATATAAGCATAATCTACATTCCAACGCTGCCCTCTGTGCAAATGCACCTGAGTCTCCATGAAGCCTGTAAAAGAAAAAAGGTGTGCACAGAATAGCATGAACACATAAGAGAGCTTAATGGTGCTAAAGATTGGAGAACTTTTCCATATTAATTTTCTATTTCCTTTAGTCTCAGCTAGCTCTTCGAACTTGCTAGCTGCCTTCTATTGCTGTCCAGTACATGCCAAAGTACATTTATTTGAAATTTTCTTAATTTTTTGGTTTCCTAAAAGTAGAATGGACATATTATTTCAAGAATGTTAAAAAACAGTAAAACCTCTTCGTAAATGACAATTTCCTATGAAATATTTGGAGCTTTTTAAGGAAATAGTGCTTAAGCGCTACTGTAAATTCGAAATTTAAAGTTGTTCTTCACAGAAGATTTTTGAGTTTTCAAAAAACTTCATAAAAGGTTGTTTAAAGCACAATAGCACACGAATACAATAATGCTTACAAATTGCTGGAAATGTGCATATTAACGATGTGGGACATCTTTAAAAAAAATTACATTTATGTAATTTTTGAAGAAAAAAAACCTGAAATGAAGTTACGTCATATTAAAGTGAAAGTGTCATATTAGAGTAAAATTAAAACTATCTGTTCAAAAAGTTTGAAAAAAAAAATGAAAGAATTCCTTTCCCAACATGCAGAATTTTGAGCTACGGGAATGAAAACGAAAATGAACGAGTTTTCGAAAAAACTTTATATGACATTATTTAAAGCACATTTACTCAAACATATAATTGTAATTTTTGACAAAACAAAAGAATAGAGCAAGATATCATTTAAGTCATCTTATAGAGTGTGTTTAGCACCATCCCTAATAAAAGTTTAATGAAAGAGCCATTTTTGAGGAAATCGTTTTTTTGTATTTTTTTTAATTGCACATATTGCTCATAATATTACAAGGAAACTATTAAAATTTTTAAAAAACATACCATGTCCTTAATGAAAGAAATAATTATGAATAACAATTTTCATTTGAGGAAAAACTCTCTATCTTCAATTTTGTAGTTGTAGGAAGACGCCAAAAAATATTCCTTTTTTTTTTATTTTCGAAAATTCAGAGTTAACCATGAAAATCAGACATATGCCACCTTTATAGATGTATTTTACTTCATTCTTACAAAAAAATTTAAATAAAAAATTGGAGCCGTTCAAGAGAAGATTTTGAAAATGTACAAGTGGCATATAACATGTACGTCATGTAAAGTACCCAAGAAAAGAAAGTTTTCAATATCCCAAAGCATCGACTCGAGCCAGGGGGTTCTTCAATTTGGAAAAAATCCTATGCATGGTTTAGGCGCTAGTAGTGTTTACAGACACCAAACAGACAGAGAGACGTTTTGAAAAAAGCCACTTCTTCGGTATCAGGGGACCCCAAAATGTGTATTTCCATTGAAATGTATATTTACATTAGCAGCACTTTAATAATAATGATAATAATATGTATTGAGTCACATATACAATTTAATCGTGCATGACGAGTCAAATGTGATATATTTAGAGGGAGTACAACCGCATACATCTTCTTGAGAGCAGTAAGTGAATTTACATTTATGTTTATTTTTATTGTCCAGAAGCAAAACAAAGGGCCATCTCAGCATTTGCTCAAAGGACCAGGGAAACTGGAGAAAAAACCTGGTCAAAATGTAGTCATTGTCCTAGAGAGTGTACTACAATACTTGTTACAGATATATTAAGATATTACATAGTAGATAATTATTTTTAGTAGCAAATAGTTGAACATTTGACTTACTTTAATTTAATTTAAAATCTCTTAACATTTCAAGATTTGTACTGATTCATTTTTAAAAATATCATTTTCTTGGTATACTGATTTTACTGCTACTACTTATAATAATGATAATGATTAAGATGATGATGATGATGATGATGATGATGATGATAATAATAATAATAATAATAATAATAATAATAATAATAATAATAATAATAATAATAATAATAATAAACTGTATAAAAATAATAATAATAGTAATACTAACAGTACATGATAACAATTATGGTAACAGCTATGTATGATTTAACAGTATTAGCATATTCCTTGATTAAATCTTGAAATGGTGAAGAGGAGGCAGGTTATGGCCAGATTTTTTCCTATTTCTACACCTAGAACCTGAAATCACTATTAGTCATTGAGGTATTCCTGAACAAAAAAGTTTTTCCCCAAGAAAGTGTTTGAGTCTTTTCTTAAAATTGTACAAGCCTGTCATGTTTCTGAGATGTATTGGTAATTTGTTGAAGAATTGTATACCTGAAGAGAACGTACTCTTTTTGTATAATGTGCTTGTACACATTGGTAGATGAAGGTTACATGCTTGCCTTGTGTTATAGAGGTGTAAGCTTGAGTTAAATTTGTAAAGTGTATCATTATTTACTAGATTTTTCTTTACAAACATGATAACATCATAAATAAAAATACAAGGCAGTGAAAGTATGTGAAGTTTTTTGAAATGAGGTCTGCAGGACTCCGTACTTTTCGTATTTGTTATTGTTCAGATGATTCTCTTTTGTATTTTGAATGTTTGTTTAGCCTCTGGTGCTTGGCCCAATATTATTATTCCAATTTTTGAGAATAGAGTGCTTATTTGCAAAGTACACTCTCTCAATGGTGCTGTTTCTTATTATTATTCTAAGAGCATAATTAAGTTGGCTCAATTTTAAATTAATATCTTCTAGGTGCAAGTTCCATTTGAGGTTGGATAGTATGGCGATTCCGAGAACTTTTGTTTTCTGTGCTTGTGTGTTGCTGTTTCCTTCTAATGTTAAATTTGGTGAGTATTTTTGTGTTGAGTAGGAGTTGTGAAAGGGCATTGTGATTGTTTTGTCTCAGTTTAGGATTAGTTTGTTATGGTGGATCCATTGTACTAGCTTGTCAATGGCTGAATTAGCTTTGCCTTGCAAAGCTTTTGTTGTTCTTTCTTTGAATATTATACTAGTGTCATCAGCAAAAAATACTTTTTTTTTTTTTTGTTTTCCATTATTGATGGCAAGTCATTTACGAATATAAGAAATAAAATCGGGCCTAGTACGGATCCTTGTGGGACCCCATATGTCATATCCCTTGGCTCGGAGTGATGATTATTTATTTTGTTGTCTCTTTGGTAAGGTAATACTACAATTTGTTTTCTGTCTGATAGGCATGATTTTATCCACTTGTAAGCAATTCCTCGTATTCCATAAGATTCTAATTTTGACAATAGAATTGTGTGATGTATTGTGTCAAAGGCATTGGACAGGCTGAGAAAGAGACCGACAGAATTTCTTTTTGTTTTAATGCCATGAGGATTTCATTTACAAAGGTGAATAGAGGAGTTTTTGTTGAATGATTTTCCCTGAATCCATGTTGTGAGTCAGTGATAATGTTACAGTGTATCACGTAGTTTTTTAATCTTTCATAAAAGTTTTTCTAATATTTTTGAAAAACCTGACATGAGTGAAATTGGCCTATAATTTATTATATCTTGTTTGTTACCTTTTTTGTCTATAAGTTTAATTACAGCAGTTTTAAATATGTTTGTTAAGGAGCCATGGGTTAGTGATTGGTAGTATAAATATGTTAATGGTTTGATGATACATGGAGCAATCTTTTTTATTAAGAAGTCTGGAATGTTGTCTATCTTATTGTTTATTTTGCATTTTGTTTATAATTTGAAGCGTGTTGTCTAGGCTATCCGGGACGAGCCGCGTCAATGTCATGGTGGCTAACGTTTCGGCCAGCGTATTGTGGCCTTCTTCAGAGCGTACTATTTCCTTTCCTGTTGATTCTGTGATGGACATGATAGAGAGAGAGTTTTTAAAGAAAGGTGATTGTTGTAGAAGTGTAGTGATTGGATTTCTTGTTTTTAGTAGACTACCAGCAATTGCAGAGAAGTGTTTGTTGAATATACTGGCTGTTTCATTAGGGTTTATTATTCTTCTGTGTTCATGGACTAGTTCAATATTTTCTGTTTTTTTATTTGCTGGTAATGTTTTTTTTGTTTTTTTTTTTAATATTCCACATAGCTCTTGTTTCATTTTTCGATTTTTTTTATATATACTCATCATTTGACATTTGTTTGGCCTTTATTTTAACTTTTTTGTGTGGCTGAATATTGCTTATTGTAGTTGACTATTTGACGATCGCATGAGTGTTCTTTTGTGAGTTGATGAAGCTCTCTTTATCTATCACAAGAAATTTTAATACCTTTTATAATCCATGCTTTGCTGTTTTGTGTGTTTATTGTTTTGTGATTCTGTAGTGGATGTGAGAAGTTGAAATAGTGTTTGATTGTATTAAAAAAAGTGTCAAACTTGATGGTAGATACGTCATATACCTCTGACCATGATTCATTAGTTAACAGTGAGATGAGATTGTTCAGGTTTTTTTTCATTATACTTCCTGGTCTCCTTTATTAGGTTTCGTATTGGTGAGGTGGAATTTATTTTAAGAGTGAGTATTTGAGCATTGTGGTCACTGAACCCCATATCATTAGTGGTGATTGTGTATGTATTTTGTTCTGTCTAAAAGGATCTGGTCTATTGCTGTTTGGGAGTTCTTTGACTGCCTGGTTGGTGTATTGATTACTGTATCTAGATTACAGGGCATACTAAGTTTATTAGTTTGATTCTGTATCTTGCATAAGTAATATTAGCTGTAGATAGGAAGTTAATATTTATATCACCACCAATTATTAGAGTAATGAGCCCGCTCTGTTAATTTATCCAAGATTAATTCTAAGTTTTTAAAGAATATTTGAAGATTTCCATCAGGTGCTCCATAAATGCTTAGAAGGAAGATGTTCAGCTTTGGAATTTCTACAATTGAACATTCCGTATCTGAGTCGCATGTTATTTGTTTGAATTCATTGGAGTTTTACAAAAATTACACAAATGTAATTTTTTAAAGATCTCTCATGCCGGTAATATGCACATTTCCAGTAATTTGTAAACACTATCATATTTGTGAGTTAAGTCGTTTAAATGAAGTTTTTTGAATACTCAAAAATTTTCCATTGAAAAGAGCTTCAAATTTCACATTTACATCAGAGCTTAATCAACATTTTCTTAAAAATGACTCCAAAATTTTTCAAAGAAAATTGCCACTTAGGATGAGGTTTTACTGTTCTTTAATATTATTAAAATAATATTTCCATTTTACTATGAAGAAACCAAAAAATTAAGAATTAAAAATATAAACTTTTAAAAACATGTACTTGGCGGTGATGATAGATGGCAGCAGGCAAGATTATGAGGCAAGTTCGAACAACTTGCCGAGTCCAAAGGAAAAAGAAAACTAATACAGGAAAGTCTGTGCCATTTTGTAGCACCACTAGTTACTTCTCTTATACATATGTCTGCTGAAAATAAGACAATTTTTCGCACAGAATTACATAACTCTCTCTATACTACGTACATACTTCATACGGAATATAAATTCATTGCGGGTACCTGATAATGAAAAAAAGTTAAATCCAGTTGCCAAATTAAGAAAAAAACCTCTCTAACACATGGTGTAGTGATTTGTGGGTCCTTGATACCGAAAAATCAATTTATAGTTTATTGAACAATGATTATCAATTAACAATTTATTAAACGTCCATCCGTCTGTCAGTGGACATCACTAGCACCTAAACCATATTTTTGTATGATTTTTTCCAAAATTGATATTCCCCGGTTAACTGGCTTCATTCAGAAGTGCTGCGATTTTGAAAAACAATTACTTAAATTTGGGGGAACTTTACATGAAGCTCACAGACATTCTCAATATTTTGTCATATACAGCTCCCAGTTTTTTGTCTAAGCTTTTGGTATGGTAGGTTTGGTTTGGACATTGCTAAATATACTATATGAGATGATATAAACGCCATTCTTATTTTTCTTTCTTCAAAAATTACAAAAAAGTAATTTTTTTAACTAGCCTCTCACGTCGTCATTATTTACATTAGCGGCAATTTCTTTACACTAGCGCATTTGTGAGTACATATTCTTTAAATTATGTCTTATAAAATTTCTAAAAAACTCTAAACTTTTCTGTGAAAACATGCTAAAATTTCCTCATCTTCAGAAACCTTTAAATATTTTCTCAAAAACGGCTTCAATTTTTTCTTCAAACTTTTCATTTGGATAATGCTAATTGCTCTGATTAAGATGACAAAATTAATTTTGCTGTATTCAATTATTTTTACACAAAATACACAAATGCTTTGTTTTTTTAAATCTTCCATGCTGTTAATATGCACATTGTCGTTGATTTGTAAATTATTGCACTTGTAAGTGGAAGTGCTTCAAATGAAGTTTATCAAAACAATTTCTGTAAAAAGAGCTTTCAATTTTGCATTTACAATTACAGCTTCTTAGAAATGGCTCCAAATGTGTCGAATAAATTTCAAATAGGAGGAGGTTTTACTCTTTTTTCTTAAAGTAATATTTCCGTTCTACTATTTGGAAACAAAAAAATTGAGAAATTAAAAGAAAAAAAGTGCTTTGGGTGACAATAGATGGCAGCTGGCAAGAGTAAGTGGCAAATCAGAATAGGTAATACAAAACTAACATGAAAAAGTCTGTGCCATTCTGTAGTACTAGTTATATCTACCTACAAACAGTTTTATATTTAATATTTTCCATTAATTTCTGAAGTTGTTCTTATTGTTGATATGTTTTTAAAATAATTGTTAGTTTTTCACATAATGTTATTCATTTTTAAAGACATTTGAACACATAATTATTTGATAACTTATTTACTTCTAGATAAACAACACCATCTCAAAAGTTGTTTTTATGCATTTTTAAAATTACTTTTTTATATTATATATTTATCTGATATTTTCTTCTAAAGACAAATATACTATTTTGGATGAAATAAACTATTATTACATATTTTTGTCAACTAAACTGAATCGATTACCACATTCCTCCAATTTATAACAGTAATACACAATCACATACAATCCTCAGTACAAAGTTCCTAGCAATAGATACAGCAATCGGTTGTTAATTTTCTACATAATGTCTTTGTTTTTGATTTTCAATAATTTCCTCATGGCCACCTTTTGAAAGCTTCTAATTTCCTTTTATTCATGGTTCTTTGGGTCCAGCACTTCAGAGTTTGTCATCCCTTTTTATCGCAACTTCTGACCATTTTAAAGATTAGAATTAAGTCTTAGTATTAATTAGTTTACTGTGGCAAGAAGTAATAGCTGGCTCAATTTCACTTATATTTCAATTTAAATTAATTCTATTTCCAGATAAACCAACTACATAACAATGTTGATTGCATTAATCTTTACACTTCCAAGTTTTGCTGTTAAAATAAATCTCATGACTACAGAAGAGAAACTTAACAAAAGGAGCTTAAAAAGTCTGTAAAAGCAATATTTAGAACTGATTAGTGACAAAAAATGAAAAATACACATGCATGCCATGATAACAGAGAGCACATTAATACAAATGAGAATGGAACAATAAAACTGTATAGTACAGATGCAATTCCTAATATGAAGAATGTGGATAACACTAGCATTAGGACATTTCCAAAATTTTCACAAAAATTGTTCCAAATAGTTTTTTTAATTTTTTGCAAAGTTCATTATAAAATGGCACATGTTCAATTATCATTAAAACCTTTAATTTAATTTTTTTTTTAAATTGGAAAAGTTCAAACCTTTTGGACTGCTTTCCCACAAATTCATTACTAAAGATAAAGATTTTCGATATAGTTTACGCACGGGATGTAGTTTTGCTGTCCTCATAACCTTTATAGCAGAAGTTGTGTATTTTTTCACAGCATGTTTCACAAATACCTACGAGTGGAAAGGTGTCGTATTTACAAATGATACTTTAATTACATAAATTACTTGTAAAGTGTAGTAGTTGCGCTTTACTTCACACATTGAATTTCATGAGGATCTGACCTTCGGGCTACCATATTAACATAAAACATCCCTGACACCAACATATAGATAAGTAGACTTCAGATGAGTTTTTTGTTTCTCAATATATTACTAATTAGATTTTTAAATAGAATCATTAACGTTTTTCTCGGAAGATAAATCATAAATTTTGCATAGTTGTGAATGAAATGAAACGGTAATCTTTCACACACATGTAAACAAATTTTTCTCGAAAACAGATCCAACACATGAAATTCTACAGCCCAAATGCCTTTCTCATCAAAACATTTGAATTTTCAAAAATTAAATGTAGTTATGTTAGCAGAATGAGCTTCTAAATAAAGTTTGAATCTACATTTTCGAAAAGCTAATTTAAAAGTAGTACGATACATGTTATAATATTATATTACATAATCATTAAAATTAATACAAGGAAAGTGTACTGTTTAATTAAAAACTTCCCTGAATCATGAATTTAGTAGAAAAGTTTTTGCATTGATACTCAACCTACCTGTTTGGTACTGACTGTTTAAATCTTGAATAGGATATCCCAGTTCAAATGCAGCCTTCAGAAAAGCATCTGCTAAGGGAGTTGCATGCTGGATATCACTGACAACAGCTGGACCAACAGTGGAATGATAGGAGTCTAAAATGCAATGAAAAATGCAATTCTTCTTCGCCAAAAATAAATAGCATATGCTTATAAAACATTTTTATTGCTAGTGTCACATGCCAGAAGAGATCTTGAAAATACTAAAAATTCACTCCTAAATGGTAAATTAAATATCATCATCATGAACTGACAAGAAATTACGCTCTACAGCCTGTTTCTATTGGTTATTGGTTTGGTTAAATATATATTATCAAATAAAAACTTTACCGATACAATTTGTCCAACAAAAACAAAACAAAACAAAACCAAAAAACACCCCTGAATAAGAGGTTCAATGTTATATTACATTACATTAAATATGGTCATGATAATCAATGAAGCTATTCTCTGCAATAGATTTTCTTGATAAATGTTTTTACATTGTGAAACCATGTAAATTTCAAAAAAATTCATGAGTTGCAATTTACTAATTCTGTTTTTCAGTACTTCACGTTTCATATTAATCTGTACATTCCACAAAGAGAAAGTAAGGTATCTATATTCTCTTGAGATAGCAAGGAAGAATGGGGGAAAGAAAGAAACTTTGAAAACACCACAGCTACTATTAGTTTCTAATAGCAATCCAACTATTATCATACAATTATGGTTAGATTGTGAACAGTAATTGCCTTACATTTGTCAACTTTATCAAAGTTGGCAACTTTGCCTACTAATGAAAAAAAAAAAATGAATGAAAAAACTATAAAAACTTGTTACACATAAGCATTAAAAAAGAAGGGGAAAAAAAGATGATTTTTGAAATTAAAGAATTGAATTTTATAAATTCAAATCAAATTTTAAAAATGTTTATTGAATTTTATTCTAGTAGAATTTTTGTGGAAGTACTTTTTCCATGTAAATTTTATGAAACGAATTATATAGTCACTTACTGCATAAATTATTAACAAAAGAAACTATTATAAAAAATTAATTACAAACAATTCTTATTTTTCATTATTTAAATTAATGTAAACATTAATACAGACTTTTATGACAAATTATATTGTGATTATAAGAAGATGCATGTTTTAACTGTGGGATGGGGTGGTGATCCTTCCCTGCTGGATGGTGAAATCCAGTGCTGACCTGTGTTGTCTTGTGGGGATTTTCCCCCACCAAGTCTCTCCCACCAGCATGGCACTGTCCCAGCCGGGACAAGCTCTAAGTTCCTATGTGAGTGTAAGTGCGCATAAGTAAGGGGAAGGAGGGGACATGATATAGGAAAAAAGATTGCAATGTGGACTCTGGCCCATTTGTTTGGGTACTGCACCGGCACTCGCTTGGTGTGGAATGGAGAAAACATGGAAATACTACTTATCCAAGCAGCCAGCCAGTAGAATTCTGTTTCACACAGCAAGGGAATTCTATCTAGCTGTCTCATCAGAGAGTTCATAAAAATAATGTAATCAAAATTAAGAAAAAAATTACTTTCATTTACAATAAATTATAACAAAATGTAACCATTATTCAAAACGAAGAAAAATTTATTTGAAAAAAATGTTGTGAAATAATTTTTAAATAATAATAAAGAAATTCTAGGGCAGGAGAATTGCTCCATTTTAACCAAGTCTCCTGGTGCAACACTGCTAAGTCTCAGTATTATATTTACATGGAACATAAAACTTCAAATAATGCCTCAGAAACAGATTTACGCACATTAAACAAAGTAGTTTTTTATTGAAGTTTTATTGAATGGTATACTTTCCCAGATCCTTTTGTAGACTACCAAAAACTGTTATACACGACAAACACAAAATCCCTAACAAATATCAGAAAACAAGTGATAAGCCTGAAAACATGTGAAAAACCTGTTCTTCAATGTTTTGTTTACACAGTAAAATTACTGACACCTATGGGTGATAAACATAATTTTCAAAAACTGGCAAAGATGCTCCAGTTTAAGACAGATTCATTACTAGAGAAGTTCATCTCACATATTCAAAATTTCCTGAAAATTGGCTACAAATATTTATCTTTAAATATCTGGTGGGAATAGAGCGAAGTGTGCTTTATAAACACTGTAAAGTTTGTTTTCATTAAAAACCTTTAAATTTTCAAAAATTGCATAATCTCTTTCTTAGAAATATCTCCTAATCTGTCATTCTTGAAGCTAGAAATCATGCACTTAATTCTTCAACATTGGAGCTTGCAATGATGTTATCTACTGAGTTTTCAAATTATTATAGGTTTCTAAATAATTTTGAATCAATTTGCTAATTTTTTCTTTAAATTTTTGAGCATATAGGAGTAGTAATTGAATCTCTTGACATCAGTGATGGTTTCATTTAAACCTCTGAATTAACAAAAAATTTACAGAAGTAAACCTTTAAACTTCTTAATAGGAAGGTCATTAATATTTACATATGTATTTCATGAATTAATTAATGTGTGAATACAAAAGCATTACATGGTGAAATGATGCATTTTCAAAACCCCAAACACATTCTCAAAATCAGCTCCAAATTCTTTCTTGGCAATTTAAATGTCAAAAGGGTTTGTGCTCTTCTGTGGTATTCTATGGATGATTCTGATGAAAATATTAGGGGAAAGTATTACATTTCTTAATCAATTTCAGTCTAAAATCTCATTAATCTCAGAAAACTCCACCTAAAATATCAATATTATTGCAACAAAAGCTAAACAGTCATGATAACTGAAATTTTCCCTGAACCGTAGACCATTGATTATCCAGTCTAATCGCTGCCAGACATTGTCCAAAAAAACAACTTTCCAGATAATGGAATAAAATATACATACAATAAATTGGAAATAAATAAAAAAAAAAGTGGAATCGCGGTATTCCAAACTAATTAGGGGTGTGGTCTGTTCGGATTTGTAAATGTTTGGATTATCTGAAAAAATTTACTTTACATATACAAATACATTTATAGGATTACCAAGCACAATCCAATGTAGCGTGCACAGTGAGAAAATGTAGCATAGCGACACAAGGAAGTGGCAATGTTGCGAACAACAAAGCACTGGCAATACCAAACCAATCGTATGCAGTAGTGGTTGCAACATCATTTAGACGAGTTGAAGCACAAATTGTGTTGCTGCTGTTAACGTATTTTATGTACTGAAGTAAAAGTTTCATTTAAAAAATTAGTTTTTCAGTTCTACAGTAATTATAAAATCCTTCTTTACACAACAATTAGCATTTAATTTATTTTTCCCTCCTGCCTGAATTTTGTTCAGATTGTCCGAAAACTCCAGATTTGCAGGGTCCTGATTAGCAGAAATCTACTGCAATTACAATTAATAAGACATAAATAAAATATTGCTATTTTATGTTTGGCTACTTGCAAATACAAATAATATATAAATTAAAATCACAAAATGCTTGGAACATCAAAACAGAAAAAAGAAGAATCATGAATATTATTCTACCCATCAGTTTTCACTAATTTCAACAACAACAATAAATCTAAAATCTTGAAGATTAGTCTGGATTAATGACAACAATCTACTGTGTTATGTTCTACATTTTCTATATAGTTTATGCATTTTAAAGAAAATGTTTATTTATGTGAAGGATCATAAGTATTCAAAACCAGAGAAAGGCTCACTTAGATACTCATCTTGTAATGCAAGTTTAATCAACTCTCAATGCTTCGGATATAACCAATATATTTTTAAATTTAAAAATAGCAGTTTAGTCTGTGATTTATACGTAAACACTACATAAAGCTTACCATAAGGGTCAATTCATTTTAAGTGGTCACTGGACCAGCACTGGACGCTCAACTATTTTTAAAAAAATTCATACTTTGTACATAAATTCCCTTACGATTTGGCTTTTCAGAAACGTTTTTAATTTTTTTAAAATAAAATTTGGTTTACAAATAGCGGCCGTTTTTGTTTTCCCCCGTATGCCATTTTCGCATTTGTAACCTTTACTCTTCTCTAAATTACTCAGCCCTGGGATGTTCTAGCATTTTGGAATAAATATCATTGGATTCAGTATACACTGGCCTACAAATAGAAACATTATTGACTTGTGTTTACCATGTGTTTCTATTTGAGAAATATTTGCAACCAAATCTATTGAATGCAAATGAACTAATTTTGATTTTCAGAGAATAATTTTTTAAAGAAGGAATACAATCACTGTCGTAATTTTTTCTGTGTATTTACACAACAGTATAGTTACTTTCTGTAAAGTATCAATGGTAAGCAACTTACCACTTGAAAATTACATCCTCTTAAAAATCTCTCTTTTTTTGTCATTTTTCACTGCTTTTGGGGCATTGTTAAAACATTTTAAGAGTATTTTATTGATCATTTCAGGCATTGTCTTAGGTCTTCAAAATTCACGTTAGTTATGATTCGTGCACACGGCAAGGAGATTCACACAGTTTTGTTTAAATTTTTTGCATGGATAGATAATGTGTATATTAAAACTTCTGAAAATATTCAAAATTTCTGTCCCACACCTTCAATACTGAAGCCAGAAGTTTCTTTCACAATGCCACTTATCCCTCTTTTTCGAGATTTTAATGTCATATACAATTTTTGTAAAATGTGGTGTCGCAGAGTAATTTCATTAAGAATTTTGTCCATACTCGTAAACACGAATTTCTTAAAAATGGCACTATTGTTTTCTTTTAACTTCTTGTAAGGATGGAACATTATTCACTGAGATACATGAAATTTCCAAGAAAATTTACTTTTCAAAAATTACTAATTCTAATTTTTGCATTTCTCTGTACGTACTTTCACCAATGTTGACTAAATTTGGATCAGTCAATCAAAGAATTAATGTTTGTGAAAGAGCCTGTTAATTAATTATAATAAAATAAATGATAAACAAGCAAAGTAATGTTCAACCCACAATCTGTAAGCATCAATGGACAGGTATAAGAGAAAATAAAGCAAAGAAGTAGAAAATGTCCTCTTTCACATCAGCATTCAAAGATTAAGAAATAGAAATTTCTCCCATAATTGCTACTTTTTCAAAATTGTATCTATAATTATCTTCAAAAGAAAATAATTATAGATACAATTTTCACTGTTCAGTTATAACACTTAAGTAATAAATAGTGTACTAGAGATTAATAAATCCGATGTCTTAAGCGAGAAGAGTTTTAGAAACGATATTTGAATCCACGAGTGAAAATTACAATGTACATTAAAGTTACTCAATTAGAGATTTGAAAGAATGGTTTAAATGTGAACTGTTCATCTAAAAGGGATGGAAGAAATAAAATCAAAATTACAATAGCAACCTACATTCTATGGCAGATTTACTGAAAATGAACATTTTCAGAGACAGCAGATTGGGGGAAACTTGAAAACTAAGTAAAGAAAATGGAATCCATGGTGTACATGGATGCTGGCATACAGAAGATGAGGATGAAAGATCATGCCACAAAATTACTTAATAGAAAAAAATATACATTATTGTTAGATGAATCCAGGGCTAAATTTAAAGAGGTTGTGTCAATCATATTTACCGTGCTTGAATCTGCCACTTTGTTTTTCAGAACGTCTAAAATAATGCAGTGCATCGTCAAAATAGCTCCAACCTGCATTACCATCCTCAGACCATTGGTCGTAATCTTGCTTGTGACCTCTAACGTACATCAAATAATTCAAGTGACTGGTACCACCAACAACTTTCCCTCTTGGCCATCGACTAGCCTAAAAAGCACCACAATAATGCTACTCAAAATATACAAGCCATCAAAAAACAAAGATCAGAAACATCAACTTATTCTCACATTTCCTTCCAGACTGTAACATGCATGTTTTTGTCGAACTGTTTGATACTGCCAGTCCAGGGCAGAAAGCTGCAGGAAAGGGCTCAAAATTGGTATGTCTAAAATCCACGATGAGCAACTACTACCAGCTTCTATCAACAATACAGAAACTTTTGCTTCTTCTGAAAGGCGTCGTGCCACAATTGAGCCGGCAGAACCAGCTCCCACTACAGGAAATAAGACCGTACATGAATATATAATATGAATGTGCAACCACTCGTAATAGCATGTAGGACATGTTTTCAATAATTAAATGTCAAACAAACCAACAACGTAATCATACTCAGATGCAAGTCCATCGCGCTGCAAACAAGAAAAATCGAAGGCTAAACTAGATAAACCTAGAATCACTATCCATGAAGAAATGACAACTCCAGCGGTCCAATATATTAATGTAAAAAAATAATTAATCATTTTCCTACGACAGTTAATACTTTAAGATGAGTGACAATGAATAGTATAGCTTTAATGTAAGAATACAGCTTATCCGTCTGAAACATTAATTTTCTTCAGTGTTAAACGAGAAAATCGTCTCCTAATCAGTTTAGTTTTGTCATAACATAAAAGGGAATATTATATCATTGTACGATTCAAACATTATATTAATACAATTGTGTAACATGCAAACCACAAGAACATTCGTTTTCCCAACAAAAATACTACTTTATATTTATTTTCACTCTTTGCCGCGGCATTTAATCGACTATAGTACAGTAACGCCAATTGTGACACTCCATGAATGTTTCAGTGCAATATGCAATACTGATGCAATACACAAGTGCATTTCGCCGGAGAGGTATTGCAAGAAAGTAAAGCAGATGACGCAATGAGAGGTTAAACTGTGTTCGATGGGGTAATAACCTTTTTATATTATGCCTTTCTTTTCGGGAAAATTTTCTCCGAAGAGAACAACACCGCGCCGCGTCGTGAAATCAGAATCTGATTTGTCAACACTTGTGTTAGCTTCGAACGAAACAGCTAAGAAAGAAAGCTCTGAACCTGCTGACGAGATTAAAATTGTCTTAGGAGACCAAATAATTCGTTTCGAAAATGGAGAATGGATCCCCGGTAATTTTTTAAATATTTTCTTTACATTTTAAGAATTTTTAAATAAATGTGCGGTAATTCTGTGGTGCAACGCATTTTTTTATTGTTTACAGAGACCGGCACTGTGGGAGGCACTTTCAAAGAAAACGTGAAGCTGAAAAAGCGGGTTAACAAACTTGAAGAAGAGAATAACATGCTTAGGATTAAATATGAAGTTTTACTTGATATGGTACTACTTATAATTTCCTAGTGTATAGAGTTTTCAATTTTCGGAAGATTGACCAATCGATCAATCAACCTTATTTTTTCCAGCTAACGAAAACAACAGCAGATTTTCACCTGCAAACGAAAGAAATAGAACGACTGAGAGCTTTGACTGATAATTCAAAGCAGTTTTCTGCTAAAAATAGAAATAAATAAATATAATTTATTTAATGTGTGTTTCATTGTATTTTTTAGCCAAAGTATTTCTTTAAGATTAAAGAAAATGCCTTGAACTATACCTCCATGAACCTTTATATGATGCACCAACTTTGTTCTAATGATTTTTCTTCAATTTACCTTTCATATGCAACACAATGCACATATGAAAATTATTTTACATTACATCATATCATATTCATTAGGCCTACGTTGAGATATTATCTGTTGAGTTTCTGCATGTTAATATGTTCAGAATTTGTGTATTACTGTACTTAATGTAACATTTGAAAACAATTTAGATACACCATTTATGAGCTTATTTATCCACTCCTGAATTGGATCTCTTTCTTATTCTGATGGATACCATTCCAATATTTTCTTTGGCCATTTTCCTTCAGGCATCTAAAGGATGTGTCCATACCACTGGAGTGCTTTGTTTTCTAAAATTTTTTGTAATTGAACAGATTACCTCCATCTATTTCAATACATCCATCATTTTGGGCTTTATCATCATCATCATCATGAACTATTATAGTTTGGGCCTAGAGGCCTGTTCCTTTGAACCAGTATTCGCTTAGTTGATGCTGAAGTGTTCCTCCCCTCTTTTCCTTGGCCTGCCTTAGTTCTGGTTTTTCCCTTCGTCTGCATTTCAGGATCTGTTTTGGGAATCTGTCCAGTTTCATTCTTCTTACACAATCTTGCCAGAAGGGGTAAATGACCTAGAATGTTATGTAATCATGGTAGGAGGATTCATACAAGGAGGCAGGAAAGGTTCGAAAGCAATTTTAGATTGCATTATGGTACTTCATGAAGAGTTCTAGATCATACATAAGAGCCTATGATATATGGAGCAATCTTTTTTATTAAGAGGCCTGGAATGTTGTCTAGCCCAGCATATTGCTTATGTTGCATTTTCTTTATAATTTGAAGTATTTCCTGTTCTGATGTTTCTGTGATGTACATGCTAGAGAGCGAGTTTTTAAAGAAAGGTGATGGTTGTAGAGATGTAGTGTTTGGATTTCTTGTTTTTAGTAGAGAACCAGCAATTACAGAGAAGTGTTTGTTGAATATACTGGCTGTTTTATTAGGTTTTTTTATTCTTCTGTGTTCATGGACTAGTTCAATATTTTGTGTTTTGTTATATGCTGGTAATGTTTTTTTTACAATATTCCACATAGCTTTTGTTTTATTTTTGGATTTATTTATATACTCATTATTTGACATTTGTTTGGCCTTTATTATGACTTTGAGTGTGGCTGAATATCGCTTACAGTAGTTGACTATTTGATGATTGCACCAGTGTTCTTTTGTGAGTTTATAAAGCTCTCTTTCTTCCACAAGAAATTTTAATACCTTTTGCTATCCATGCTTTGCTGTTTTGTGATGCTGCAGTGGATGTGAGATGTTGAAATAGTGTTTGATTGTATTAAAGAAAGTGTCAAACTTTAGGTTGATGGCAGATATTTCATATACCTCTGACCATGATCCATTAGTTAACAGTGAGAAGAGATTGTTCAGGTTTTTTCATTGTACATCCTGGTCTCCTTTATTAGGTTTGCTTTTGGTCAGGTGGAATTTATTTTCAGAGTTATTATACCTCTTTTTCCATTTTTGTTGTTCTTCCTGAAACATATTGTTTATATGATGAATACTAGCTTATTCAAGCTTCCTATACATTCGCACATCTTGAAAAAATTTTTTTATCTGCCTTAATCTCGTAAATGAAATCTATTATGGACTTAGTTCCTTGTGGAATCTCCCAAGTGTACTTGTATGTCTGTGTTGAAAAATGGCATTGGCTAAAACACATTCTAATTCCTTGCATATATCAATATTATTGAGCTCTTTCTCCATAATCATTTAATAGTTTCTACAAACCAACCCACTACATCTTTAGCTCACTCAACTTTATTATTCAAATCACTCATGAAGATTAATTCAGTTTGTTTATTACACCATCCATAATATCATTCAACATACTGAACCCTTTTTTCCTTTAGAAGCATAGTCATATAATGCATATGCGTCTATAATATTTGTTCTTTGGTTCTAAATATTAAAAATTAACCATTTTTTGGTTCTAAATATTAAAATCAACCATAATAATTCTCTAATTTGTGTGTTCAAAACTGGAAACATATCTCATCCAATTCCTTCTTATAAGTATTGAAACTCCAGATTTTGCATGCTCTGATTTTGGCAATCCATTCCAAATATAATTATTTCCCATTAGTTCTTCTCCACAATCTTTCCTTTCGTTTTCTGACAAAACCACAATATCCAACTTATCTTTTCTATATCAGCTATTATCTTTTTCTTCTTTAGTTTTGGGCCTTGTATATTCCACATACCAGCAGAGATAGTCTGTTTTCTACAACAGAGTCATCTCCACATTTTTCGTTCAACCTTCAATGCTTGTGTGTAGGGTTGAACAAGGTTTTAAAGATTTTACAGAAAACGGGATTCAGATTGAATTGCTCTAATCCCACTCCTCTTTCCAGGTTTGGGTCCTTCAATACCAGCTACTGAGGTACTTTATCCTCCCAGCACCCATTGCAATTTATTCCTTAGTACTTCATCCTTCCAGCACCCATTCCCATGGTTTATTTTTGAAGTAAATATAATTGTAGAAAAAAATCTTGTAAACACACTTCACAATCTACTGACTACTTAATTCATTACTTCCATATTTTTCTTAACGAATGCCAAACTTTTATTTTAAAATTTAAAAGTTAGATGTAAATTTCACAATTGAGCATTGAAAAATATGAATGACTGACTACATGAAAGAATTATGAAGAAAATAAATTAATATTTATTATAGTGCATCACCATCCGTCAAAATAGTCGTTTTTTGGGCAGTCATGTTTTGGTTAAAGACAGCACAATATGGGAAATGTGCTGTAGTTACTCTAAATCTAAAAAGACTCACCTGTCATCTTGAAGTAGGTGGGGAACATTTTTGTGTTGAATTTTTAAAAAGATTAGCAAGGTAAGGTTGTGAAGACATGAGGGAAAGGAAGACAAAGTAGTCATAAATATGACAGGTTCAGATTTCCAAAAGTTATGACCAAATTTTAAAAATTACAAATAAATATTAACCATTTTGTTTCCAGTCAATTCTGGAACTTGATCCTAAAAATTATATCTAGAAGAAAATATTGTGACAATTCACTCACTATTACCACAGCAAATTAATGCCTCAATGAGGGCAGGTAAAAAAAGAAAGAAACAAGTTATAAATAGTAGATATTTTTAAAAGGATTTAAATAACAACACAATTTACTCAAGTTAATATGAAAAATAATATATTAAGTTTTAGTATGTACAAAAATATACACTGCAAGCTCTAAATAAAGGTACACCATCACACAATTAGAAAGTTTTACAACAGTTATAGATAAAATATAATACAGAACATGTACAAAACTGTTTTGAGAATTCCATCATTATTATTATTATTATTATATGCATTTCTTAAAGCAACCTGGATGAGCGATTAGTTATTGGGACATGATCGTTTGGTGTGACCTGAAATAAATTAAAGAAAAATTAATTGCCAAATGAGGATGACAAAAATTAACACACAAATGAACTGACATTCTCTTTGAAACATTATTAAGCTCTAATAAAAATAGAGGATTAATTACATGCAAAGAAGATTCAAGAAACAAATACACAATTCAAGAGGTCATGGGAAGAATAAATGCATGCGCAGTGTCTAGTTTTGAGAGAATTTTTATTGATCAATCCACTTGCTGTTTACGAGTAGGTGCAGAACATGTAGTATCCACATCTAAAAGGGAAAACTCTAGAACATTATTTATTTACCCCTTTCATTTCAGTGTTTGAAGCACAATTGTCTCCTTTAGTTTCCCTCTCATTTAATTCCAAAGGGAGCAATATTCTAAATAATGTTAAGAGAGTAACTAAAAGAATATACTTGATAACAGTGAATTGAATTTAATGGCAGTTGAACATTTAGAATATAGCACAAACATATTTCTTTTCACAAGATTTTAAAGATCCTTCGTTAGGAGCGTCAATTCCTTTTCAAAGTAATGAATTGGATTCTGCAAGGGTCTAAATTCAAGCTTATTTTAAATTAGTAATACAATTTTACTTTCTCATATATGTACATAATATACTTAGTGATACATAGAGAAAGATATGAAATGCTGCGGAAAATCAATTTTGAGATTTCAATGCAAATACACCAATGTTGGGGTTCCCCGTACCAAAAAAGTGTTGTTTTTCAAAACGTCTGTCTTTCCGGTGTATATGAACAACATTAACACCTAAAGTATGCACAGGATTTTTTCCAAACTGAATAAACTCCTGTACATTGGCCTCATTCAAAGCTTTTGAAGATTTTGAAAAACATTCATTTATTTTTGGGGGTATTTTACATGAAGCCTTTGAGACATTTTCAAAATTCTCTTAAAAATGACTTCAAACTTTTTCTTAAAATTTCTTGTAAGAATAGAGTGAAACACACTTATAACAGCAGCATTGGTCCAATTCTCAATGTTAACTCAAAATTTTTGAAAATTGAAAGAAACCGATAAAATTTTATAATTTTTTCGATGTCTTCCTACAACTACAAAATTAGAGTTTTCTTCAAATGAAATTTGATTTCCTTAAGTAGTTCTTTCATTAAGGTCATGTGCATTTCTTTGAAAATTTTAGCAGTTTTGTATTATTGTATGAAATATGTGCAATAATACAACGTATCAAAAACAAGAACTTCTCAAACCTTGCTCCAAATTTTTTCTTTAAATTTATGGAAGAGAAATTGCTAAATGTACAGAATAAGGAGACACAAATACCATATTTCTCTACTCTTTTGCCTGATTTTCAAAAATTACAAAAATTAATTTTTTTTACTTGTCTCTCACGTTAATATTTACATTAGTAGCAATTTTTTCACATTGTTGCATTTATGATTACGTATGCTTTAAATGATGTCTTATAGTTTTTTCTCAAAAATTAACAAGTTTTCTGTGAAAATGAACTCAAAACTACGCTAGAAACACTCAAACGCTATTTTCCCAAAAACTGATTCAAATTTTTTCTTTGAACTTTTCTTACAGATGGTGCTAATTGCACTGTTTAAGACGACATAAAATTCATTTCGCTGTTTTCTTTAGTTTTTTAAAATTATACAAAACAAAAATTTAAAAAAATTGTATTATGTCGTTGATATGCACATTGGCAGTAATTTGCTTACATTATTTCATTTGCGAGTATAAGTGCTTCTATTGACTTCCAAAGAAACTTTTTGAAAACTCAAAAATTTTGTGTGGAAAAGAGCTACAAATTTATCATTTAAAGTAAAGCTTAAACATTTAATTGAAAATAACTCCAAATTCAACAAAAATTTCCTTGTAAGGGGAGGTTCTACTCTTCTATAACATTCTTGAAGATTTTTTTTGGTTCTACCATCAGGAAATCAAAAAATTGAGAAAATTTTGAAAAAGTGTACTTTGGGCGGCAATAGATGGCAGCTAGCAAGAGTATGTGAGAAGACCGAAAAGCTAGCCTAGACCAAACAAAGTTCAAGAGAATCTATGCCATTCTGTAGCACCACTAGTTTAAAATACAATTCATCAAAACCTCCATTATAGTTTAAGTGTTTGTCTTCAATATATTACATTACGAATGAATTTTGAGAACTTTTAGCATCTTTCATCTCAATTTCAGTCTGAAGTTATATAAATTATCATTCTCAAGCTCTTCATTTTAATTACCTGCAAATCTTTTACCATTGCAAGTAAGTATTCTATATCCTGGAAACGAAAATGTCTAGTTTTTTCTAATATTACTAATCTCGTGCTTCTTTAAAATTTATTTTTATGGGAATGAAACTCAAGAAAACATGCGCAGATCATCATCTCCTCCATACGTCACATACTGTTTTTTTACTATTTTTTGACTAAATAAATCTAAATCTAATATGTTTTCAATGTAAAGCTTCAGGGACAAGTCAGAGTAAATTATGCTGTTTTTTAGTCAATTTTTGGAGCACAAATACAGCTGCTCATAACCTAACCATTTAATAACCTATTTAAACCCTTAGTAATTTAGAGGGAGAAATGTCAAGAGAAGAAAACAGCAAATAACCTACAACATTTCAATGTAAAAAGATAATAATACAAAACAGAAATATATTTTTCTAGGAAGTTAAATTTTTTTTATAGCTAAATCAAATTATGAAACTTGTCTTTTTCTGAAAATTGCAAGTACTTTGCTTGAGTACATCTGTTTCAGTCCTAGGTTCTGCTATGCCTTGAATTTTAGACCACAAGGCCTGACGTCAAATTTGCAAAGAACTTGAAAACCAAATATGTTGATGAAAATATGCAAAAACACTGAATATGATTAATAATGGATATCTAAGTAATATGATTGAATGAAACAGCAAAACAATTTTACCTTCTTCATGGCAATTGCCACATTTCCGCTTTTTCTTCCCATCAGATGAATTTGATGAACTGCTGCCACCTCGACCTAGATTCAACAACCAAAATATCTTAAGTAATTTATTTTTTCATAATAATTCTTTCATAATAATTTTTTCATATAATTTCATTTCCTAAGTCATTTTAGTTACAAGAACAGAAATAATATCATTTAAAATATCGTAATACATACCTCCTCTGTTATTTCTTCCCCAATTACTTGAACTTCCAGAAGCACTATCACTACTTCCTTCATCAGCCCACATAAAAAACTGGCACTGGTCTACAGACTTTGGGCAAGTATAAAATGGCCTGCCCTTATTTGGTCCTTCCTTCTGAACTATTAATCTGAAACAACAAAGGGGAAAAACATGTATTGTTTAAATTTATGAACTGACCTGTTCCTTACTCTTGCACACACTATCTTTTTTATTGCGAGTTGAATCTTTACTGAAACAGCAAAACCCCATAGAATGCTGTCCAAAATCCCTATATATTTCTAATATATTGCATCTTCATCATCATTACCCTAGGAGTAGGAATGATTTTCCTACACTAATTGTGGATAATGAAGCTATTAGTATGCCTTCACATGTTGAAATGTTCCCGCTGGTGCCATCTTGTCAATCTTCCACTGCTCCTCTTGCTTTCCGGTCTATAATATAAAGCAATCCATGGTAGTAGTCATTTGTCCATTCTCTTTAACACCTTTTCTCCTTTTCTTTGTTATTCTTTTATTTCTCCTGCTAATATATATTTTTCTAAAATATTTCATTACCAACATAGCATTTGCATTTGGAGCAGTTGTCCTACAGAGGTCTGATCAAGGAATCAATGAAGGAATGTAGAATATAAAATATTTAAATAGTACAATTTTTTCCAAATTGAAGAAACCCCTGTATATCTGGCTCGAGTCGAAGATTTGAGATTTTGAAAACATTCCTTTAAAATTTGGGGGTACTTTACATGAAGCCCCTGGGACATTATCAAAATTTTCTCAACAACGCTCCAAATTTTTTCTTTATATTTCTTGTAAAAATAGAGTAAAATACACTTATAAAGGTGGCATAGGTTTGTTTTACAGGATTAAGTCTAACTTTTAGAACATTTCCAAAAGGTTGAATTATTTCTGGCATTTTCCAACAACTACAAAATTAAAGGTCGAGACTTTGCCTTCAAATAAAATTTGTTCTCCATAGTAAGTTTTTCCATTAAGGTCATGTACATTTGTTTAAATATTTTAGTAGTTTTCAAGCAATATTTGCAGTTTAAAAAAATGACAAAAACAAGATTTCTCAAAAATTGCTGCAAATTTTTTCTTTAAACTTCTATTAGTGATAGAGCTAAATGCACTCTGTAAGATGACATAAATGCCATATTGCTCTATTCTTTTGTTTGTTCAAAAATCACAAAAATGTAATTTTTTTACTCGTCTCTTATGTCGTTAATATTTACATTAGCGACAATTTGTTCACATTATTGTACATATAAGGACAGGTGCTTTAAACAATGTCAGATTATGTTTCTCGAAAACTATTCTGTGACCATGAGCTCAAATTTTCACATTTTCAAAAACACTTAAATGCAATTTTCTCAAAAATGGCCCCACATTTTTCCTTCAACCTTTTCCAATAGATAGTGCTATTTGTAATGTTTAATACGACAAATCAAAAATAAAGAAAACTCATTTCGAGAAATCTTTCAGTTTCCGCATTGGACAGGTTCAGTTTAATGTTGTGTAAAATACTACTATATAAACGTCAGGGGCCAGAGAAATTTTCCAGATAAAGCAGATTTACTGTACAGCAACAAGTATGTGATAAAAGTTGAAAATACGATGCTACCAGATACCTCTAATAACGGCCCTATATGAATGAATACAATAACAAAGGGTATCTGCTACTTGTGCAAAATTAATTTAGGTGTTAATGGATGAAGATGGTCTTTTCTATATCTTCTGCCCTCCAGAGGGGTTATATGAAGTATCTTGTTGTTCTTTATAAGCTAGATGTCCGATATTCTGAGAAATGTTAGTTGCCATTTGTTAAACCCTTTCCAATAACCGAATATCTTTAATATAATGAGGATTACAGGCATAGCATTTTCCATAATTGGAAATAGTACAAGCAAATTATCACCTTGAAGGTTTCCACAATAAGGCCCTTAAAAAACTTCCTCCAACAGAACAGGTACAATTAGGCTTCTTACCAACTTTTGTGATGTGCCCTTCCCACTTCATATCATCAGTGATTCCCAAGTCTGCCAGTTTATTCTGTAACCACTGAGGTCATAAAGTAGGCATGGGTTCTTCCCAACAATAAAACCATATATGACAGAACTTTATCTATACATTTATACATCCAACCAGCTGCCTTTCATTTGATCAACTGGGAATATTTGGAAAGGTTAGTATAAACTTTAATGTCCTCAGTGTATACTGTAACATGGGATTGAATGTTGTGAGAGAGATCACTTGAGTATTAGAGCATTGTATAAAATCAAGGAGTCCCAGTACAGATCTTTGGGGGACACTTCTCAAAACTTGAAACATAGTTGATAGGTTACATACCTAATAAACATCTACTTTCAACAGACATATTGATTTTAATGCTAAACTAGATGAACTGATCAATATAATCAACTAACAAAATCTCAGCCATCACAGTTGAAGATTACTTTTCAGCAGGATGAATAAGTTGTTTTCATTTATTTGTCTGTTTTATAATAAATATTAAAGTATATTGTAATATATCCACAAAATTATAGTTTCTTTATTTCTAGAAAATACAAGTAAATAATTTTATTAGAACTTCTGATAAAAAATTGACAGTATACTAAATTTTATAAGAAATCTATCTCAAAGGGGTTTAAAGGAGTATATGAAATTTACAGCATTGTTAGTTGTATTATCAGAGTTCTATTTCAAACATGATTTTTACTTTATCACGAGTACTTACGCAGTAGAGAGAAAGTTATGCAACCCTGCATGACAAAAAAAATGAATTTTCAGCAGAAAAACTTTTATTTCAGGGTAATGAAAGTGTGGAAAAATCCGGTTACTAAATTTAGAAAAAAGTCCCCTAACACATGGCTTACACAGAATTCGTATTAAGCGGGTCCTTGATACTGAAGAATTAAATGATGACAAAATGTGTCCGTTTGCCTGTCTGCCCATCCATATCTGTGAACAATGATAGCAGCTAAACTCTTCAGCTGATTTTCTCCAAAATTGATACTCCCCTGTCGATCTGGCTGATGTGGCGGCCCCTTGAATTTAAAACTGATATTTTAATTTTGAGGGTACTTTACATGAAACCCCTGGGACATTTTCCAAATTTAAAAAAAAAAAAATAATAAAAAAAAAAATCATTTTTGACTAAATATTGTTGTTGGATAGAGTGAAGGACATTTAAAAGAATGGTGTTCGTCTCATTTTCATTAAAAACTCTTATTTTGAAAATTGCAAATATCCAACATTTTTTCAGCGTCTTTCTACAACTACAATTACGAACACAGATTTTTTTCCTTAATCAATCTGTTCCTGAAAGATAGATTTTGAAATAAGATATACAATTTTTTGAAAATTTGAGTACTTATTGGGTAGTTTTGCATGAATGTACAAGCGAGAAAGTATGTGCTGTTTTAGCCCCTCTAGTTTCATATACAGAAACTATCATATAAGTTAATATTCATATACACATACTTAAAAAATTCTCAGAGCAAGCTCAATTATACAAAATCTGGATTAAAAACATATGACAAAAAGGTGATAGAACTATTATATTTTAGCTTCAATTATGTTAGTGTTACCAATGAAACATGGGGAAAGTTCTACAAAATGATTTAACTTGGGGGATGAAAACAAATAATTACATGCATGTACCATACCTTTTGCCAGGGCCCCCACATCGACACCGCACATCATTATCATACGAATTGGCAGCACCTGAAAAATTCACCACTATTAATTTCGTTAAAATTAATCTTAAAACAAGATAATTATCACACTATCTAGAAATGACACTGTAACTTCCATTTTCCAATCATGTGAAAAAAAATATAATGTCTCTCAATTAAATCAGATAACACAAGGGGAACATGAAATATTTCATTTAATTTGTGAAGAAGTGCCAACTGTAACCGCATTAACTTATTTTGTTCACCATATCAATTTAAAAAAACTTATAAAAACCTGTTACTAAATGATTTTCAATAATACTGTAATGTAAATGATAATGTAAATGATATTTAATAATTGGGCGATTGCCTGTAATTATATGTATATAAATACATAAATAAATATAAATAAATAAATTTTATTTCATTCTAACAAACTGGCGATTTTCTTCTGTTTGAACAGAAACACACCTGCAAGGCAATAAACTTAAGCTAAACATGGAGAAGTAGCTTAAGCTGTCCGATGTTACCCCATTTTAGGTTTAACTTTGGATAGTGACTTCTTTTTTAGTATTTGAAGTTATTACATTTTATCTCAAAATGTGTTTTAGACAAGTCCTCAATAATGTATTAAGAAAGTAAAGTGAAAGTACTCTTAAGGCATGAAATGTAAAGGTGTAATTTATATTCAAATTGTTAAAATTTCGAAAGATGCCCCGCTTTACAGTAACTATATAGTAACAGAACTCGCAAAAGATAGAAAACATTTTTCACAAAAAATATTTAAGAGCTATAACCACTTAGAACCCCTCTTTTGCTTTTTATTCTATTTAAGTCATTATATCACTTTAAAATGTCACAAAGTTTTCTATAAGCAACCTATTTCTCATTTGCAAGAATCACTTGCCTCCTCTCAGCAAGTGTCAAACACTTTTGACTTGTCACTCATTCTCCTGACAATGGACAAACTTCAAACAAATGAAGGAGAGAAGAAAATAAAATATTTCTAATAGAATTACCCACATCTTAGAAAAAGTGTTCTGTAAGAAATATGATACTTGCAAATTAAGAAAAAAGAACAAGCACATTACATCAACATTGGTTTATATATTGTATTTCGGCAACTGGAATGTAAAAATAATATAATGTGAGAGACAATTGAAAGGATGAAGTTGAAAAATTTATGGGTTATCCAGTTAAATAAGAATTAAGTGAAAAAGACAAACAAATTTGGGAGCGAATAACGTTAAAAATATTTTGTCAACAGTAGAAATGAGTGGCATATAACAGTTATTTAATTTGAGAGGCGCGCCTTCCCAGGGAAGCGCAAAAGTTTCAGAGGGGAGGTACGAGGCCTTCGTAATAATTTAATTAATTATTGTTGTAATGCTTAATAATTTAATTAAATATTGTTGTAATGCTTAATAATGCCCCAAATATTTTTACATGAATAAATTTCTACCTGATACAATTAAATTTTAATAAGGGAAGGCATATGAAGAATTTGTAATCTGAAGGGAGTCACGGCAGTAAAAAGTTTGAAAACTACTAACTTCAACATTATTAATAAAATGAACAATAAAGCAAAAAAAAAACAAATTCTACAGAAGTGGATGTACAGAAGCGATAGGAGATTGTTTTAGTCTTCGTTTTAGTCAAAGATAAAAATAGATCTGAGAACGATTTTAGACGAACAGTAGAGGGATCCAGTACTGAGAACAGAAGAACAGTAGAGGGATCCAGTACGAATAGATCGCTGAATGGTAGGTCGCAAATTTGATTTCCACAAAGTTAATTTGAATTAAAAGTTTATAAAATAAGAGCATCGGTTAGAAAGTGAAGATGGAAATACGGAGTAATGGACAAATGAAAATTCTTGAGTGGCAATGGAACAGGGGATGGTGAAAAATAAGATTAAGGTTGCTGCAGTACAGGAGAGTGAAAATTTTTAACTTTATTTGAACTTTGCTCAAAATTAATATGACATGGCTAAGATTGTTTAATAATTAAAAGAGAATTAGGTTTAAAATTAAATTGCCATAATAGCATGCATGCCTAGTATAAATTTGTTGAATAAATATAATGTAAATTGGTGTGAATGTAAATATTTCAGATTTGTTATTTTTTAAGGAGTAAAATATTTTTCTTTTATGTACTTTATGTTGTTGTTACGTACCCTATTATTGTTTTAAGTGGAGTCACTATGAGATATGTAATGAACATGAACAATGTTTTTGTAAAATAAATCAGAGGTGCACCAACTATTGCAGTTGTAACATTAGAAATTTGTGGTTGTTGTTTTGTTTCTTTTAATTTTATTAATTAGATATGAGATGACGGGTACCATAAAAGTAAGCCATGTATCCTATTCCCACAAATATCAATAAGAGCGTCCTGCATCCCGTATGGGACAACTTCACGAACTTTGATAAAAGAATTTCTGGACCCAGTGGATTAATTTATTAATTACAAAATGAAGAAAAATAATAGTAATAGAGTTAGAAATAGATTACATTAACGGTCAATATAAGTGACATTATAATTTTACTGAATACTTAAATAGTCATAGAATTAATCTAAAGATTTCGGTTCTCAAGCAATATTCAATTCAATTAACAGACTTGTATACAAAATAGTTATAAACAGTCCACCAAGGAAGAACTTCCAGTGTGCGTGCCTGTTTAATCACTAGACCTCCAAATTTTAGACACAAAAAAGTGATGACCTAGGCACCTAAAGTAGGTAACAAAAATTATGGAATTATGAACTATTGGGCATGAAATGTGTTACTTTCTGCATTTAAAAGGTTTCAACATTCTTCCTCTTCACACCATATAACACAGCTGATACAACAAAGGAACAGAATCTCTCACCCACACCCACAAGAAAACTCAAAATAATCCTTTTCCTTTCTACGGGTTCAAGACTTGGGCTGTATTTTCAAGCCTTGCCTTTCCAACTATAGGGTTTTGCCTGACCTCTGTTTTTCTTCGCCTGGATTGCTTAGACAACGCACTGCAGCGAGAAGCCCCAATCTGTCAGTAATCAGCTGCACTGAGAATGGTTGCTATTGCCAAAGAAGTGGTGCTGATATCACCAATAAATGAATATTAAACACTCTTCACCAACTGCTTTCTAACTCACACAATAAGCCACAACCCAGTGCTGACTTTCTGATACCTTTGCATAGCCTTGAGCAATGCCAGTCTGGTCGAGGGGTAATGAATTTTAACGTGGGTCACAGGAGACTCGTGAATAGAAGCCATGACCCACACTTTCTCAAGTTCAGAGTTGGAAGAGATGTAATTCCCATACACCTACGCCTTGAGAGACAAGGGGTCCCAAGGTCGAATTCTACATTGACAGCTGATGCCCCTCACCTTCAATATCTGGCTTCCATGACTAAATCGCATGTCACAGAAGTAGAGAATTTAAAACAAGCTTACAAATGCATTTATTTCATTAAGAACATTCGTGTCTCTGCCAATTGCATTAAATTCACTGAAATTCTGTTTTTCAAAGCTTTTTTTCTGCAGGACATGAAACGCGGTTCCGTTTGCGCAGTGGAGAGGTTCCATTTTATGCTGCGTGAAGTGCCATTTAACTTCATGAGCTGGAGAAACTTTCCATTTACGGCTGGTTTCCAGCTTGTACAGGTTCCAGTTGAGACAGATTTATTGTAATATATAAATTATTATTATATAATCCATATGAAAGCAATGTCAGTGGCTCCCATGCATGAAGCTGAGGTATACGAAGTATTATTAAATAAAGACAGGAAATCAATAGTTTTTGCAAGTCGTGGATGTGAAAGACGTAACACAACAATTCTGGGGAGAAATCTACTGTGCATGTGCTGACATCAAATGACAGGATTTTCATTTGACAGGTCCTGTCATCCCCCCGGTTTGGTCATCTATGACAAACAAGTTCATAACTTACACTTTACGTAGTTTTTGCCAACACCACTGAACATGAATTCAACACTAACACAAAATGAGCATGGAAATAATGAAAAATACAATATCCATAGTACCAATATAATATGGCAGAAACTTAATGGATAATTTTTACTCAATTTAATTGCAATATCTCGGGAATAAACTAACATAACTGTTTAGGTTTTGGGAGTTATGCATATATTGAGGCTACATTGATTGTCACAAAACATTAGTTATTTAACCACAGGATGTTATAATTGCCACGCACTTCCCATTCCTAATATAAACAATATAAAAATGTTTTAATAAAATTATGGGGTTACATTCTAATACTATCCAGGAAACTATAATTTTCTCTTTAGGTGAAGATGAACTATTACATAGTCGTATGATACTATTTCACTTATACGTATTATTGATTTCACTTATTATACGTATTATTATCTTGTAATTCTTGTACAAACATTGACTCAGAAAGATACATAGATGTTCAATAAAACCTTTTAGGTTCTGTAGCAGATTTTAAATTTCAATTAGTTTCTAGGTTTCTAGAACAACTTGCACAAATTCATTTTTCTAAAGGTACTTTATTTCCTATTGATGATAATGTTTATGAACTATGACACTGAGTTTCACGTCACTGAGTTTCACAACTGATAGCTCACGCAAAAATATTTTGCATTCAATACAACTTTCTAGTAAGTTAGTCACTTTGCAATTTTATTTCGAGTTTAAAGCATGAATTAGTAAAAAATTAAAATAAAATCCCAGCTCTCTAAACTAGGGGGTTATCTTATATTTAGATAAATATGGTATATTTACATTTATGTTATGATTTTCTGATGTATACATTTTTGTGCACTTTGTTATTATTTAACAATTTCATTCTAATTATCTACATGCAAGTTGCTACTGGAAGAATCTCGTCAGTTACCTGAAGTTTGTAGACTGATGACAAAGATGTGATCAAGAAAGTAATGATAGCTTCTGGAAGTTCAATTATGGAAGAGGCCCCAACTTACCTGGCACACTTCCAGTTTGATGCTGTGGTTGCCAGGCGTTTACATTATTATGAGTTGAAAAAGAATTCTGTAGATTTTCTTGTACATTATTGGTAGATTCTTCCGCCCACTGGAAAAAATTGCATGTTGACCGACCACATTTATAAAATTGCCGCCCTGTTAACATACAGAAACAAGACTATCATGAAACTAATGAACATCTAAATGAATACATTACTGAGCAGAAACAAAATTGGTGAAAGGGTGAAGCTAAAACAAAGAATAGTGATTACTAATAGTCTGAAAGTCTGAAGGCACACAACAACTGTTAATTCTTTTTTCTTTTATTCATTAACCCTCTGTTACACACGCGTTCTTTGTGACGCGAGTACATGTGTGCGAACTGGAAATAAGCAAAACGTAGTAAACTTTCTTCTTCCATATTTAATAGTGTATTTTCACAGTATTTTTTTTTTGTAAATATCAAATAGAACTTGTGTTGCAATAGCACCACTCACTTGTTGGAATTCATTTTTGTATTTTTATTAGATTATACAATATCATCTCTACGGAGGAAATGTCAAAACTTTGCAAATAAGCTCTTAAAACAATTTGAAGCATTTTTTGTCTAATATACAACTGGGATATTCCCAATGCGGGAGCCAAATTGAGCCACATTGAGCTACAATAAGCATTAAAAGTTGGTTTTAGAAATGTTTTTTTAAGCAAAATTTTGCATTGGAGAAGCATAGAAACACTCCAGAAACATGTAAATTGTTTATTATCTAGACATCTATATATTAATTTCTTGAGAGGAGAGAGAGAGACAGAGAGAGAGAGCTAGTAAGGAGAGAGAGAGACGAGACAGAGAAGTAGAGAGACAGGAGAGAAGAGAGAGAGAGACAGGAGAGAGAGAGCAGATAGAGACTAGAGAGTAGAGAGGAGAAGAGACATAGAGAGAGAGACAGAAGTACCGAGAGAGAGACAGAGAGAGAGAGAGAGACAGAGAGAGAGATGAGCGAGACAGAAGAGAGGAGGAGAGGGAGCTAGAGAAGTAGAGAGAGAGGAGACAGAAGAGAGAGACAGAAGTACAGATGAGAGAGAGAGACACGAGAAGAGAGAGGTAGGACAGTAGAGGAGAGTAGACATGGAGAGGAGAGAGAGAAGAGAGAGGAGAGAGGGACAGAGTAGAAGAGAGAAGATGGAGAGAGAGAGAGAGTATGGAGAGGAGAGAGAGATGAGAGAGAGAGACGCGAGAGAGAGAGGAGAGACAGAGAGAGTAGAGAAGAGCAGAGAGAGGACGGAGCGAAGAGCAGATAGAGAGAGAGCGCGATGAAGAGAGAGAAGAGCGAGAGAAGACGACGAGAGAGAGAGAGAGAGAGATGGGAGAAAGAGAGGATGAAAGGAGAGAGAGCGGAGAGAGAGACAATAGAGGAGAGAGGGCGACAGAGAGAGACAGAACAGCAGAGGAGAGAGAGCAGGACAGAGAGAGAGCAGGAGAGAGAGACAGAGAGAGAGAGAGAGAGAGGAGAGAGAGAGACAGAGAGAGAGAGGAGCAGGAGCGAGAGAAGAGAGAGAGACGAGCAAGAGAGAGAGACAAGCGAGAGAGACAGACGACGGAGAGAGAGTAGGAGAGAGAGCAGAGAAGAGAGACAGAGAGCGAGAGAGAGAGAGAGAGAGAGAGAGAGGAGAAGAGAGAGAGAGAGAGACGCGAGCACGAGACGAACAGAGAGAGAGAGACAGAGATGAGAGAGAGAGAATGAAGCCAACCTAGAGAGAGAGAACAGGTAGAGAGTACATGAGAGGAGAGGAGCAGTAGAGAGAGAGACAGGGAGAGAGGAGACAGAGAGAGAAGAGAGCCTAGATGAGAGGAGAAGACAGGAGAGAAGAGAGCACGCACGCACGCACGCCACGCACGCAGCCACGAGAGAGGAGAGAGAACCGAGAGGAGACAGAGGAGAGAGACAGGAGAGTATATTGTAGACAGAGAGAAGCGAGGGACACGAGAAGAGAGAGAAACAGAGAGAGAGGGGAGGACAGAAGAGAGAGAGACAGAGAGAGAGAGACGAGAGAGAGAGAGAGCGACAGGAAGAGAAGACAGAGAAGAGAAGCAAGAGAGAGAGAGAGAACTAAGAGAGAGAGAGAGAGAGAGAGTAGAGAGTACAGAGAGAACACGAGAGAGAGAGAGGAGAGAGAGAGAGAGAGATGAGAGAAGAAGAGAGAGAGAGACAGACAGACAGACAGACAGAGACACACACACAGACAAAATTGGGTGCTTTTTAATCTCTATGTTAATTTTTCTTTCTGAGCAAATATATTAATTTCTTTTAATAGATAATAAACAATTTACAAGTTTCTGGGGTGTTTCCATGCTTCTCCAATGCAAAATTTTGCTTAAAAAACATTTTTAAACCAACTTTCAATGCTTATTGTGTCTCAACCATATACCTGTTTATCAGAAACAACATGAAAAATCATCAGAAAATAGAGAAAACTTGATAATAATTACAGTGCTTGTTTAAAAAATAATGTTAGTACAAATATTTAAAATTAAAAATGTTGTCAAGAAGCTAATAATGATGAGCCCTTATGACCTGAATCGTTTGGAGAGTTTGGTGAAAATTTCATCTGAATATTTTAAACTATTTAGATTAGAAAATATTTGAGGTGGAGATTTATTGATTAATCTTGTAACAATTTGAACCATAAACCTACCACAATATTGGAGCTGTTATGCAAATAATTTGTGATTTTATACAATTTTATAATAGGAAAAAGTGATGCACTTCTCTGATAGTTATGCATTGATGTACTCTTATAGAAATAATATAATAAATAATATTAATATTATAAATATTTTGTTTAAATAGTAAATATTATTTTAAATAGTAACACAAATTAAAAATGTGAGAGTAGAACTTAGGGCATGAACACACACAAGCAGAATGACACTTTGCACGGCTATATACTCCACTGTAGGCAATGTCTGCAACGATTGAGAGAGATTTTTTGACACATATCGATGAGTCACAATGGCTGAGGAAGGTACAGGAAGCTGCAACGCAATAGCTCAGGTCAACTCATAATGAGAGGCAAAACTAAAAGTGTGTGGAGTCTCAGTCTGAGCGTGTGTAACGAAATGTTAAAACCAATGTTTATGAGAAAAAAGGACAGTATTCATTAATCTTAAGAACTAAAAAGTCTCTCAGAGTGATTAAAACAAAAGGATTTTCACATACTTCCTAAGCATTACAAATTAAATTAATTTACATGAACAAGCATACAATATAATTATGATTAAAATTATTTTCCAAGCGGGATGGCAGTGGTCTACTGGAAAGCATGTTTCCCGACAAATCATCAGAGGATTGTTCATCCCTGACCACTCCACCACTGATGATGTCTACCTTTGTCATATTGTCATGCCATTTGTTGATGAAACGTCCGTAAACATGTTTTCCAATATAGCATGGGCATTCAGCACAGAAGATAATTTTGATTGTGACAACAGTCATGACAGCCTATGTTATTTTAAAAATAATTCATGATTTGCACTTTAACTTGTATAATCATGTCATGATAATCATTTGAGGAGCAAACCATCAAAATGTATTAGCATCAAGAGAAAATATATACTGTTATTTCAAATGTTCGGGTCAGAGGCTGTAACATTTTTCAATTCTAATTTCATATTTTCTCCGTTATTTAAACTTTTGTCACTCACAAAAAATTTTAAAATCTGCACTTCCCTGTGGGTTTATGTCCAATACACAGTTCTCTTGAGTTAATACAAGTTTCACTCTGGAAAAAATCTATACCTATAAACGGAAATACAATACTGCTATAAAATGCTCAGGAGCACCTACAAGATTAATAATATCCACATAAGTAATAAGAGCAAAACTTGAGAGCCCGGAAGTTTATGAAAAATCATATTTTTAATTATGAACATTTTAATTAGCTGATTATCAAATATCCACCTAACACAATCAAATGGATAGAAATTCGGTGATTTTATATAGCTTATTAGTGCACTTTGTGTTAATGCATCATATTTAAGTTATTATGTATATTAAGTTAGTATTAATATTTTATTGCTTTTATCTTACTGAGGCACATTGCTCTTGGAATTTCAATTAATGTGCACATTTGTCTCCTAAAGTCAAAAAGTGTACATCACAAATGTGAATGTGCTATTCATGAGAAATCTTGGAAATGCCTTTGTTGCAGCAGTATTTGTCTGAACTTCTTTTACGTGATATCAAGTCGCTGGAACCCCAGACTAATTTGTCTGATTATGAATGATGTGATAATTTATCTTTGATATAGAATTTGCAGCATTAGAATTGATACTTCGAGAATGATTCAGACAAAATCATTATATTTTACTTTAGAAATTATCGCTGGAATACTAAGTGGAGACAGAACTGCAAAATTAAAGGTTAAAATTAAAAGTTAGGAATTGTTCACGAAGAGATAAAAGTGTTAATTGTTACAGCATATTTCATTAGTTCTGGGGCATATTTTACAAATGTTAGAGCATATTTTCCCTTTTGATACAGTACTAACTTCCAAGCCTTATTAACAAGGCCTACTGCTTAACCAGTACTCTGCACTACATGACAAGTTTTACATAATACATACATTTGATTTGATATGATTTTGACAATCATAACATAATACATTTCATTTATGTACTCTAGACAGTTACACAATTTCAAACACAGTTCTTGTGTAGTATGTGATGAGATGCATATTTTTTCAATAGAAAGTAAAAGTTTCCTAGTTAATGTTCAGAAAATCTGGCTGATTAAATTGTTAGAAATGTCTGAAGAGCTAACTTCCAAAGGTTAAGACTCACCTTTATTAGGTCCCTCCTTCCTCACGGTGAGAAGCAAAGCGTTTTCATTACAAGAACAAACTATTGCATTATCTGCAGACTCATTGAAAGGAGTACTAGTATCATTATTGCTCTGCATAGCAAATCTTCCAAAAGAATTAAATGTTGAATTTACTGACGATGGCCCTACACTTCCAGATGTTCCACTAGAACTCGATGTACCACTAAAGGAGTCATTGCTTGTCACAGAATTAAATCTGTCTGATGCCATCCCATGGGAAGGATTTCTGTGAAACTGAGTTTGTCCAAAAGAACTGGTATTAGCAGATCTTCCTAATCCACTATCACTACTAAAGGCACCAGTTTGCCTACGATTCCATTCAGTGCTATTTTGAGGTGGAGAAGAAGCTGATGATGCTGAATCAGCCCATTGAAAGAAATTACACTGGCTTTGATTCCCACATTTGTAGAATGGTCGACCTGGAAAAAAGGTTTTTACTTTAAAACAAGCTAGAAATATCCAATTTCCCCAATTATAAGACATGGATTTTTCTGAATATTTCAATCAACAATGCGAGGTTGTCTTATATTTGCAGATTAAGCCTAGTCGATTAGGATTTAAGTTTTTTCAATGCCATTCCATGACACGAAACTCGTAAATGTTGATGTAACGATAAATTGCAAACACAGTAAAAATATCACGCGTATCCACAAATGTAATTAAATTCGCGTTCGTATTCTTGGTATCCACCGTACATTTATTGTACAATTCAGACTGATATTTATGAACGGGCCAGTAAAGAGAATCGTTAATTGAATGGCATTGTATCAAATGAAACGTAACGTGAAAATGAATGCCGAGAGATTGTTACACGATGCGGGTTCAAAGAGGCCACATGGAATCTCGGTTTGCTGACCAGTCAATACAATTCTGCGTTTTGAACAGAAACAAAGGTCATCAACAAAGGCAGGATGGATACAATATTGGGTAACAGAAGGGTATGTTCTTAGATGTGTCGGATGAAGTGTGTCTAGTGCGCAAAACTTTCAAGAGGGGCCTAAAAAGACAGATGTTACAGAATGGAAGGAGGACCAAAATGCAAGAAACCTTGATATATGTGAATATGATGTGACAAAAAGTATGATTATGATAATATTAAGGAACAAGATAATTACCGTTCAGCAATAAGTCTTAGCATTCTCATTAACAAGGCAATTTTCTAGTCAATAAGACCTTTTGTAATTTTATTTTGATTAAATAGTAAGAATTAGTAAAAAAATTTAAAACATTCTCAGAGACCTCTTCAAAATAACGTGGTCATCTTATATCCAATGTTGACTTATATTGAGTAAATACAGTATTTAAATTTTATAAATTAAGTTTATAATTAACAAGTTAAACAGTTAAAAGTTTCACAGTTAACTTTTTAAGATTTTAAAATATTATTATACATGCATTCACATGTCTGATCAACAAATAATACCAGTGCTACACCAAGTAATCAGCTGGTAATACCATAAAACAATTATGTTGGGTGATAAGGTTTTACAAACTGCTTAATTTTAGAATATAAATGATGCATCAATAATCTCCAGTTTGTTTACAGAAGATATAAGTATATTTACACATCCTTTTAAGGAAATATAAATTAATACATTAAATAGTAGTACAAAAAACACTTGTTTAAGAAAAAAAGAGCAAATGGTTCAAGTTAATTTAAGAAAACTTCCAATACAATTATGTTGATAATTCAATAAATTTAGAGTATTAGAGGAAAAAACTATTTGACATACCTTTGTTAGGACCATCTTTCCTCACAGTCAGCTGAATGGCAGCTTGATTGCAATTGCACATTACTGTGGCATCACTAGTTTGATCAATAAAACTATCGGGATTAGCGTTAGACCTTGCATTTGACACAGACGTTTCAGAAAATGTTCCTGGTCTCTGAAAAATATCCTTGATTGACCTCTGTCCCCGATCTTGCCCTCCACGCCCTCTTCCACGAGCGTTTTGTGGTGGATTTCTTGCATTGCCAGGCAAGTGTATATTATCACTTGCAGGAAAGAATGCATTGCCTGTCAATGTGTTATTGGATGAAGGTCCTCTTGCAGAATTTACACTACTGTCACTAGAATTAATTGCTGAACTTTGTGTATTTCCCAGTGATGAACTTGCACCTAAAAATAAACACATTTTGTTTCATTCCTACTTTGTGACCGTCAACAATCCTTTTAGAAGGCATACAAATTTAATTAACAAGTTTTCAAAAAGCAAAACTTTGAAACAAACCTCAAAATAAGAAATTTTTGAATCAGAATCTAAAAGTCTCACCCAAAAGAAATATTAAGACATTACTAAAATTTTTTTTTTTTCACAAAGTCAATAATTTATTTGTTTCTTTCCATATTGCAGTAAAATCTGTCTAAGCCTGAATCGATTGGGACAAAAAAAAAATTCTGGTTACAGTTTCCGTTTTATGCAGGGTTGTCCATTTTATGACACTTGTGATATTGATATTTCAATTCTGAAACCAGTAAATTAATGTAAGTAAAGAAGTATTAAGTAAAGTAAAAATTACATTATTTTATAATAATTATTAAAATATAATTACATAAAACAATTTATGGAAGAAATCAACAATAAATGAATATTAAACATTCTTCAGAATTTGTCTTTGCCTTCATATTTGACTACTTTCATCCAATGTTAGAATTTTATGGTTTTAGCGTTGTTAAAGTAGTTGTGTAACTCATAAAAATATACACCACCTAACTGCCTAATGGCTGTAATTGGACTGCTTGCTGACTCTTTCAACACACAATGTGTCACAGCTCAGAGTACTATGATTTTCTGATGCCACTGCACGGCCTTGAGCCATGCATCTCTTGCTGAGGGGTTATGATTTTGAATGTGGGGCAAGGAGAGGCATGAATAGAAACCATGCCAGTATACCTTCCCATGATCAGAGAGTTGGGGGAGGGAATTCCCCTACAGCCTATGTCTTCAGAGGCAAGTGACCACAAGTGAGGCAAGGTCGAATGAGGCAATGCCTTGAGTGGCAAGTGAGGCAAGGTCAAATTATAATCCCCTCTCCTTCACAGTGCATTCATTACATTACAGACTTACAGATGCATTCATTACATTAAAAATATCTTGTGTCTGAGCCAATTGCATTATTCACAGGAATTCTGCTTTATAAAAATTCCCCCCTCCCCTAGAATATGAAAAACCATTCCGTTTCTGTGTTGGACAGGTTCGGTTTTATGATGGATAAAATACCATATAACTTCTGGACCAGAGAATATTTCCGGTTAAGGCAGGTGTCCGGGCTGCACAGGTTTCGGTTTAGACAGATTTTACTGTACCTGTTTTATATTTATTCCTTGAACAAAACAAGAGTATGCCAAGAAAAATATTCCTGATTGATAAATGACACATTGATTTTGTCATATTCATAATTCATTCAATTTTGACTTGTTTTACATGGCAAAGATCAGGCCATCAGGTCAGTTCTTCTGCCTCACCACATGAGTTTCATTACACTCCTTTCCTTACAAATCAGTACTTTTGCAGAGAAAGTCATGAAGTAAACCCACTATATGTTTAGCCATTCAGTAAGGATGATTATGCAAGTTTATTTAGGACAACATAACACTAGACATGAATCACATTATTTACATGGAAAATGGATATTAATGAAAGCTCACTTACTGGGTCGTACATTTGCGATATTAATGCTCAGAATCTCAAGCAAATCCCTATCGCAACCACCAATACATAAAGTATCCTCAGGGACACTATAACTTGGTAAAGCTCCTCTTCTAAATTTAAATTTTAGTTTATGGTAATTTGGACCGCACTGAAAGCAAAAAAAAAATCAAATAAAACAAAGCCAGGCCAAAGAGAGTGGAGAGTTGAGGGATGGGCAGGCAGGGTGCAAGAGAGTGGAGGGGGCAGGGGAGGTTGGAGCAGGTAGGGAAAGGGCAGAGCAGTGGGAAGCTGAAGAAGCAAGGATGAGGAGGACTGTAAAATGGACAAAAGGAATAAGTGGGGAGTAGGAAGCACAGGGTTTGGAGTGCAGAGCAGAGGAAGCAGGAAATTCCACCACAAACTCTCAGTAAATTTCACTCTTTGTCTACCGTCCCCCGGAAAATATGTTTATATAAACACAGTAAAACTTCCTTATACATTTTTCAGGGGACTGAAGTAAAAAATGTATAAGTGAGAAAAACGCTGAACTGAAAGTGATTATTATGAGCAAATTTTAAAAAATCAATATTTTTGCACTATCGTTTTCCCAGTTGTTTAGAAATATCTACTCATTTTTTTACCACTCTCCCTAACAACTTTTAAATTTTTTACTTTACCTGATATTGAAAGTAGTAAGCCTTTTCCTACTACACTTTTACGTTACATGGACACACAATATGAACCTTACTGATAATCTTGTGTGACTCAGTTTCACTGCAAAAGTGGAAGCTCTGTCTTGCATGGACCACAACTGGTTTTGGTGACCCACAGCTGGCTGCTTTAGTTTTAAGCTTGATGTTACTCGAGATTCCACGGGTCAAAGCATGGTAGGCGACAGGGTCTTCGGAGAGAGTGCCAGTAGGTGCACAAACTTTCTCACTTTCTGATCATCTACGTTGTTACTCTTCTGGGGACGCTTTAGACCTTCCCTCAAAGCTAGCCGTCACCTCCCAAGATCCTCAGAGAGGTCCCGTACATTCAGAGAGAACCGTGAAATTTTTCAAAGTTCCACTGCCAGAGGTGGCCAGGAGCAGACTTTGCGCTACAGTCCTGTGGGCTCGCAAGGTCTTGCCTCCTCAGTAACACCGAGTCGAACTTCTATATTACAAGTTCAAGTTCAGTGCGAGAAAAAGTTTTTCTAATTCAAATGACAACACTGTGGATCATCAAGTGATACTGTTGTATCTGCTGATGCTTATCACCTGCCTCTAGGCGTCACCCATCTTGTCCCAGTTCTATACGACATTGTTGTCTATGACAATTGGTTTTGTGAATTTGAATAAGCAGATTTTGTCTTCACATCAAATTACCTTGCGAAATTATACTCGGCTAGTGATTTGAACTGTGAAGATTGAACTTCATCACTTTATGTTTATTTGTACCAGTGTATAGTTTTATACTAAAAGATAGTTTAATATCAAATTTTCCCCACTAGTGCAGTACGGAGCACAAAACCTTTAATTTTTGTAACAAAAAAAGCTCATATATGCTGTAAAAAATATAATTTACCTTTATTCTTCTCCTTCTTTTCTAATTTGAGGCGTCAATGTACTCCTCGCCAAAAGAGACTTTGTAAATTGCAACAATAATCTTCAAAACTTTATATTGTTAAACCCTAGAAATTTCTGGAAGTACATCAACTTAAAAAAATAACCAAAAGCTTGCCGAATATAATGTAACGAAATGCTGAATCATGAAAGCATATCAAGTCAATTATTATAGCCTTTGCTGAATACTTTTCTACCTTTTATAAGTCTCCCAATAGCAATTTGACCATTCATGTAGATTATCAAACTATTTAACATAACTACAGTTGTCATTTCAATTTCAGACATTTTCACAAAAATAATATTGACATTTTCAGCAATGAAGGTCCAGATTGAACACAGGCAATTAAAGACTTTTATCAATAGGTTGTTAGATGAAGGAACATTCCCCATGGAAAGGAAATTGTCCTTCATATTACCTATCTTCAAATTGGGTAGAAAAAACGACATCACAAACCATCGCCTTACCACAATTTTCAGTGCAATACCGAAGCTGTAAGAATTCATAATCATGGATAAACTGAAACCCAAAATTTCACCTCATCTTCTCACTAGATGATGATGATTAAGGTTTAAGGGCGTTTCAACAGCTAAGGTCATAGACATATATCAATTAAAAAAAAAAATCAATACATAGAGTAGCAATGCCAGATTAAAACATTTTTTAATAAAAGGTAAAATGTAAGTAAAACTGAAAATAAACTTGTTCAATTATTTAAAGGGGTTGGCAGAAAAGAGCCAGATAAACACTAAAATTTCCAATTGTAAGCCAAATAATTGGCATAATCTTCTTCTCGCAGATAACGCTGTAAATGCCAGACTCTCATAAGAAACTAAAAGGCTTGCAGAGAGAAAATTCATCATTTCCAAGTACCTGTGCTAGCAAGTTAACGTGATGAAGCCTTCGCCAGGTATCTTTTACCTTAGAACAGTGCAGGAGAACATGCTCCACCGTAAGTTCCATCTCGCAACTAGGAATGGGTCACCAAGAAGTTGTCCCTGGGAGAAATGACAGTGACCGATCCAAAGGTGTGTCAAAACTATGTCCTTGCATCTTGACCCACAAGGTGAAGAAGACCAAGGATTTATGGAATCCTTGATTTTTGTGAGTTTAAAATATGAGTTCTGCCACTCTACCATGCACTGAGAATACATTTGATAAACAGCTTGGTATCATTTTTTGGAGCTGTGAGGATGTCTACCTCAGGTTTCTTTGTGACAAACATTGCTGCCTGGTCAGCAATTTTGTTCCCTATTATCCCAAGATGACCAGGGATCCAACAAAAACAAAATTATAATGACGAACCAGTAAATTATGGATTTGGTCTTGGATGATTATTGTCAGAGGGCCACAAGAGAAGCAGAAGATAGATTTGAGCGAACTTTTGGAATCAGTGCAGATCACAGCTTCTTTTTATGTCATTGATTCAGCGAAATGCCTCCAAGTGCGCATTTTTCTGCAGTATAAGTGCTGCACAAAGAGAGTAGTTGAAGACTCCGCATGGCACTGGCAGTAGAAGGCACACCCTACATTACCATTCTGGGAGGAATCATCAGTGTATATGAAGGTATAGCCGGGATACATGGATTTCATTTCCTGGAATTCCACCAGAAATGTACAGGGGGAGTTGAGAATTTGAGGAAGTGTGATAATCTCAGGTCTATTTTAGGCTGGAGAAGCTTCCAAGAGGGAACAAGATTTAGGGGGGTACAGGGATGGGGAGTTTTATATCGAGTTTCTGCAAGTGCGTGTAGAGACGGTTACCCGGAGGATGGGGTAACGAATGTCCGAGTTCGTACACTGTCATGTGACTTGGGTGAAGAACTGCTTGGCACAAAGGAGTATTTATATTTGATAATTTTGCATCATAGGAGACGATTTCAATATCTCCCCTTCGCCTCAGGGATGGTACACCAGCCTCGGTCAAGAGGCATTCCAAGTGACTTGTGTGGTAGGCACCTGTGCTGATCTGTACACCAGCACGGAGTATGGTATTCAATGACTGCTGGCCGATGGAGACTCTGACCCATAAACAATACACCCATAATCTAAGATAGGACAGATGATAGTCCTATATAGGCGCAAAAGATACTCGGTCTGCACCCCATGACCTACCAGTAAGGGTGTGAAGGAAGTTCAATAATGATACACAACTTTAAGTTGTCTCTTTAAGTATTGCATGTGCTTTTGCAATGTCAAACTCTAGTTGAATGTCAGGCCAAGAAAAGTAGCAGATTTGACGAAGGGAAGTTAATGCCCCC